TATATATATGAGAAAGTTTGCATATATATATGCAAACTCAAAAGTTTTATCAATCTAAATACGAAATCGAAAAGTACTCGAAACTATAGTTAAAAAACTGACCAAAGGTAGTAGATTTTAAGCCTAATCGACTTAAATCTGTAAAGGAGTACTAAATTAAAACAGATAAAGAGTGCAAAATAAAGACCTCGACGTTTCTCTAACGTGTCTTTTGATTCTTCCTGAACTCTCTCCATATCTACATCACGAGGTACAAGTTCACGATCAGCATGTTTATTAAAAGCAGATAACGCTCTTCCATATCCTTCATGTAATAGCCATGATGAAATTGCACTAAAAAAATAAAAATTACAAGCATACAAACGGAATTAAACATATCCTACTTTCATCCTTGCCATTATTTATAGCAACTCACCGGTCCATCCAACTTGTCTTTGCTTGCGGCAACACAGTCTGAGAAATTTGTTCATATGTAAACCTACGTGCATCCTGAAAATTACATGATACAAAAGAATTACGATTAATTGTTTCACAATATTTCATTATAGTAATATAGGGTTTCAAATAATATTTTTACCAATTTTTATAAGACTGGAAATAATCAATGAGGCACTGTATTTAAAATTATATTATTTTCAGTATCCGGACGACTTTTAGTAGAAAAATAATTAGTGCTTCTGGGTTTCAGGGATAAATTGATTAAATATTGACTAGGAAGAGATAAATCAGCATTAAGTATATAAGGTGACTATTTTTATGTATTATAAAGAAATGACCATTCACGCAATGACCTGAAAAACCCGATCGATATCATACATGAAAGGTAACTGTCCAAAGTTTGAGTCAGCAATCGCACCATGTTTTTGAAGACCAACCATTGGATAAAGATCGACAACGTTAGGAACATCCTTTATAGCAACACCTGAATTTAAATGCTCCGCTAAAATTCAAGAACGTCAAAAAACACAAACATTAACTACATTTTCAATCATTCTTATCAAATACTCTTAAATATGAATTTCGATTTCCATTCATTAGACAGTTCGCGCAGTTTTTAAGTACAAATTATGAAGCGGAAGCCATAACGCTAAGCAAAAGAACTTTATGATAAGGAACTACTTCTTGTTGAGTGGCATACTATGAATCGTTTGAATGTGAAAAGCGACTACTAGAATTTGGTTAAATATGCAATACTAATTTTAGAACTTTATCAAGAACACATTTATCAAAAATACTTTATCGTTTTATTTACAATTCACTGGAAAGACATTATAACTCACCCAAATTACGGCCATTTTTAGTGAAAAATATTGATTTTCTAACAAGGTCTATTCCACAACCAATGACATCATTCATCTTAAACGTAGGTCCATATGGATGTCCAGTGCCAGATGAACAGAAAAAATTCCCATCGTCACCATGATAGCCATATGATGCTCTGTCCCAACCTACAATATTATATAGTGTGAAAATCAGCTTCATTTTGCTGACGGTTAGGAATTCCAATTTTATTACTTTCTGTTGTTTGACAGTGTGCAAATTGTGACTAAAAAATATGCCATATTCACTAATTATAATACGATAATACCCGGCAATCTATTTAAATCGACATTCCGTTCACACAAACCAATTCCCATACAGCATTCGTCGGCACCACATACTATTGTCACTTCGAAGTAATATACACCACATGTAATTGGAATCGGATGATCAGAACGTACAGCTGCTGCATCCTTTGCGTTCAACTCTTGGGTGCTTACGGCACCTTCTAAATACTAATGATAAATAATCTCCATCAATTAAGGACGGTTTTAGGTTTTCGGAAATAATTTAAAGTTTTTGCAACAAAATTGTTTTTTTAATTTGATTCTTTTAGTAACATATACCAGAATACGCCACGTTCCGATAATCATTTGTTATGACCAAAGAAGGAGCCTTATCATAATTGCTCCAATGCAACGGCAACAGCGTCTTCTGCAACTAACACTATGTCGCTTGAAAATATAATTTGGAAATAAACAACTCTTGAAACCAGCCAATCATTCAAAACAGTTTACAAACTCTACTAATCAGTCTTTTATGAAGACATTTTTCAAAGTACCTTGATCATCAATTTTTCCTACAAATCATTTCTTCATCCAATTTTATAATCGTACGTCAACAATCTTTTATCCGACTTTATTTTGTTTTAGATCATACTATACCTGCCAGAAAAGCTATATCCAGCTAAAAACATATCGTAAACAGAACTTATATAGGCAGTTACCTTATATTTAGACACAAAATTAACAGCTCTTGAAAACAACTTCAAGAATTTTTCCATAATAATATAGTTCTATTTCAAGAAATTTAACTGAAGTTAAAATAAATTACATAATTGCACCTTTTGATCAACGAATGGATAAAGGAGTTGCAACCGTTCATTGATTTCTCTAGGACGCTCTCCAGCGCAAATCACTTTATAGCGCGGTCTTGTACTTCCAGACATAGGATCAGGACTTAAACTTTTTACTTCAACAAAACCTGGCAACGGGGCGTCATTCAAATCCTGAAAGATACGAGAGTGAAATCTAAGGAGGCATAAGTATAAACATGATTTCGGATACATAAATTGCCAATGCAGCATCAACTCTACAAAATGAAGATAAGTTGTAACTTTCATTGTCTTCGGTATTAATCTAAACTAACCTTTTTCAGTCCATAACAAATACTTGTTTAAACTAGTTGTAGAATTAAACTTTAAAAATTTTCGTTCAGACATAAAAAACACACTGAGATGATGAGCAAGCCAATGGGAAAAATTAATACTATCTCCATTGTGATAGCAAAAAAATCGATACTTCTGAAGTACCTAACTCTTGTTTAGTTCAAAAAATCTAGGCTTAAGCTTGATACCAAGTATTTGCTAATTTTCCATCTCATCAAGTTCATTCTGACAATCTCGATATCGTCAGCCAACCCACTCAGAAACATAATAATCTTTACTGCATAAAGCTGGAGAACTATTCTCTAACAATGATGATGTCAGTCCAGAAAAGGTTATATTCTTTTGCCCCAGGTGAATCAAAATTTTAAAAACGAGATCAGATCAAATAACCAAAAAAGAGATCACGAATGAGACATCAGACAGAGAAGATTCTATCGTATTTTCGAGATAGCCATATAGCATTCTTCAAAATTTCGCCCACCTCCGCAAAGAACAGTCTTAACGTCTTTTCAAAGTAAAGCTTTCCAGTAACATGATGATTGTATGACTCAGTTCAAAATAAAGGAGTGAATATATTTCAAAGAATGCCTGTCTTATATCTATTATTCATATATAATATACAAAATATCTCATATTCATACATTAGATACTATTTTTCGCGATCTCTAATAGACGTGAGTGAGTGGTCTTCACCACCCAACAATACAGAGACAAAAACTACTACTGATAACATTGATTACTGTTACCAAAATCATCAGGAAACGATCGTTCGAGAAGCCAAAATATATAGATGAATGAATTCTTAATACAAGACATGTTACTTTAACAGACAAATAATTAGATATATTCTCAATTCGAGAACAATTTTGGACAGAAAAGAATTCCAATATGGAAAAAAATTCACATTTTGCAATACATCAACTTCCATATCCATTCTCTTCGTCTTTTTCAACTTCGCAGGAATCAACAACGACGGTAACCGATTGCGGCACCTTACACTACCGACCAATGTGCACTTCGGTAGCTTTAACCACGACACTCCAGTTCAAAGTTCAATCTGAAATCTCGACTGAATCCCAAATCAATCTGATAAGTACAAGCATTTGCAAACGCTTGAATGAACTTTACTCATTCGTACAAAAACCAGTTCGTTGATAAATGTTGACCTGAATAATTAGTTAATGAATGAAAAGAGAATAGTTTAGAAGGGCCGAAGGTTTTAAACTAAAAATTCCTAACAAAAATTAGTTGAGAACCACAATTCTCAGCAATTTGCATGGAAAATATTTAACTAATGCAATTTCGTCGGAATTGAAGAAGTAAAAATAAGCGAGAAAAGAATATATACTTTGCAAACAGAGAACAGAAATGAAATGTTGGGAGCTCAGGAACGGAAGGATTAGATAGTTTCCGAGCAAAATTTGCATAAATATTTGGAGCTTTGTCTACACTGCTTTTTGGAATGCACAAGGAAAATTTATCACAAACACTGAATCCCGTGCCCTGCATTATATTCCACATTTAATAACTATTATTTATTGCATAAGTCAACAATAATTGAATTAATCATGCAAGATTAGCATGATTGAAGTGATGCAAGATTAGCACGAAATAATAGCCACTGCCTTCTTCCATCCGGGATATACCAGTCGGATACTTAGAAATGAACCTGCTCACACTGCCACTGAGATGATCACGTTAAGATGACAAACCTCAATATACTATTGATTACCGCACTTGATATTTTGCTTTGTGTGTAGAAAGCAGCTGATCTAACTCCTATCGCATCCAGTACATCTTGCCGAGATACAAAAGCGCTAATTTAAAAAGTTTTTCGAGATTCTTTTTGAAAATAGTCCATGAGATGCAGTTTAACATCATGCACTTGAGCAAAAATTATTCCATTTTCAGGCTATTCGCAAGGAGGAGAACTGTTGCGATTTTTAACGACACTATTAGCTCAAAAGGTTCTCAAAAGGTTAAGCCTCAGCAACAAAGTTTTTGATTATTTTTTCGTGTCGCACACATTCCATCGCTACTTGTAGGATTGTTCGTTCGTTCTCAGACAAAAAATTTGAGTAAAATTCCTACACCCTTCTCATCTTCTGTGAATAATTCTGTTGCTGACCACATTTTATACATTTGGGAAGTTTTATCTGGAAGACAGCAGCTAATTCAAGAATTTCAATGCTTGTATTTTGCACCAATTACTTTACTTTAAGACTTTACTAGTATGTCTTAACAGAGCAAAAGACTTTACATTTATCTTAGGCCTTTCAGCCGCACTTTCCAGAAATAAAAGACTTCCATCCAATTTAGATATTGCCTATCGTATGTTGCGCAGTCTACGATAAGGTAACAACAAAATTTAAAAAATCAAAAAAACATAAAAAACAATATAAAAAATAAATAACAAAACTCTTAATAACCTTGTGTGCAATGAAAATTTGCACTAAAATAACGCATTGAACTGTAATTTGCAGTTTGATACTATTAAAAGTTCTTCTGCACATTAAACGAATGTAGCTGGGGTTTGACTATGATTTATTTTTATTGAAATTTAAAAAAAATACTTTTATTATTATCAAATTGCAAATTGGAGTCCAAGAATCCAGTTCATTATGACTAAATATGATAATTTCCCCTTGAAATATCAGTAGGAAAGTTTATACGAAAATTCTCCATATATCAAAACAAAAGCACAAAGACTCTTGCTAAAGAATGATGTCACTGATTTGGATGGACCAAATTCTTTGAAATTTCTGTAAATGTTCGCTCATCGATTTAAAGTTGTTAAGGAAGATTGTTTCGTGTTACCCTGAAGACTGCATATTAAGTGTATTCTGGAAACAGTAATAAAATTTTTTCATAACAAACATAACATTACCATTACCGTTATTTGAAACCGATGCAACATTTGAATTGGCATATTTGAATACTTTCATAAATACTAAAATCTTGACAAGCCAACACTGCAATGCAATTACTTCAAATTTAATTTTAATGCTCCGATTATTTTTGAAGATTAATTTTAATTCTGCATGTAAACGCTGTTTAAAATTTCTACTTCAGGAACGCATTCAGTTTAAGTTACGCTAAAAAATTATCAAGAAATTAAAACATTCCATTCAAAACTTCTATCACAACTTGGCAAATGCTGAAATATGCTTTACGCTAACAAAAATATGTGCGCAAGAGAGAACACGAGGCAGTAAAACAACGAAATACATTCAGCTTTAAGTGTTAAGTGAAACACAAAGACTGTGAATGTGAACAAGAACTAATTAAAAAATGCATACAATCATCAACAATTCAATTTGAGTGTAAAAGCAATTCTGGCAAATTTTTCGCCAACTTTCTACACTTTAATGTCAATACTTTCGCGAACTGTAAATCAGAAGTGACAACTTTTAATGAAATATTAATTATGCAATAAGTATCATCCATAAAATATATTGCTATCATCCTGATGAGGCAGTAAGGAATGTGCACATATTGCATTTTTGCTCTTTTCACCATTCTTTTGGTTAGTAGTAGAAAACGTCGAAATATCAGTGGTTATGTTGTGCTGTGTGAGGCGAGTGGTTGCAGGCGATGGTAGCAAGCTAAAATCAAAATTCAGTAAGGCAACTGAAATGTGTCACTTTAAGAAGATTAAAATGGGATTCTTTGAGGTCAGTCCTAAATCCAAAGGTTTTGTTAATGAATAAAAATCAAATCATTTTAGAACGACAAAACAATTTTTGTTTCGAATGTAATAAGCAAAGAGAATTAATTCCTTTTCTTCTTCTTGTAATGATATGTGAAAAAAAATAAACGGAGGAGTAAATGTGAAAAATGTATTTCAGATTTTTATCATCTTAAACTGAGCTACGAATAATAAACAGCTTCAAGAATACATACTGAGGATCTCCTTTGTTGTTGAATGGCTTTGGATTCCGAAAAGGTTTCCGCTTGTGTTGCATCGTTGACTTCGCGTGATGGCGACGTTTCCGTTTTTTTTCCTCTAATTTTTTCTTCATCACATAGCAAAAGAAACCAACAATAATTACGAGAATACAGCTGGAGAACCCCGCAGTATAAATTATTGTTCTCATATCAGCCGCATTTTCAAGTTTACCACCTGTTGATATCAATACTAAGATTAAGATTAGATTAAGTGTAAAACTGTCTATCACAGATGCTTTTTCATTAGCAGCAATAGGAAAAATTTTTGTATCTCTATGAATAAAATTATAAACAAAACCACCAATTAGGAATAAAATAAAAGTAAGAAATATGAATTAGAGCAATTAACTGCAAATGCTACTAGCTAGACGGAAAGCACTTACCGTCTTCATATTTTACACTAGAGTAATGCAACACTAGCTCAAATTTACAATAGTAAGGCTCAAAGAGAATTGAAAAACAAATATTCTGCATGTTATTTTTGCTTGAAATTATATTTTGACAAATTTTATTCGTATATTAATTCGAAATTAGCTAGCTTTGATAAGTCAAAAGACTTCATATAAGTCTATGGAATTACTCTATGATTGTTTGCGATGAAAATAAGACATTGTGCAATAAACATTACTAAGGCATAGCCCACTATTATTCTTCTGCAATATAATTTCTAAGTTCACGTCCCTTGCGCGTTAAACTCAGATCACTTAGTTTACTCACAATGTGCTTCATCTGTGTCATCATGCAAACCGCAATTTTCATCACCATTACATCGTAAATGAACATCGATGCACAGTTTAGTGTAAGTGCAAAGATACTGTGATGAGTGAGAACATTGAGTGTCGTCTGAATAATAGTAAATTGTTTGAAAATTCATCTTTGACTAGTTTTTTAAATTAATTTTTTAGTGGAGGTGAGGAATGCTCTTGCATATTATTATTAAGTTTTATTTATTTCAAGTCTGCGAAATCTTTTTAGATCGAAAACAGCGATAGTAGACTAATATTCATTTGGTGCAAATTTATATTTGCGATGCCGTGAAATTCTGCTACATCACCAAATTCATGCTACAATACCTACCAGTAGTTAATTTTACTTCTGTCCAAGTAAAATTGAAGCCTTTCAAACCGTTCACTTTATCAGGAGAAGTGAAAAATCTGAAAAACAATAAATTAAATTAAATTAAATTAAACTAAAGTTGCCTTAATCGTATCTTCTCAAAAAAAATAATTTCACATCCTTCTGAAACAGTCATAACTGACTATTTTATTTTCTTAGACATCTGAAATAACGAAAGAAGACTGATAAAAAAATGAATGAACAACCGATCAGATCAAGAAACTTCAATTATTGTTTTTATTCAAAAATGTTGAAGTTTCGGTACTACCCACCTAATTCTAGCAACATTACTTTTCGAAACAATGGGCTCAATGACACTTTCATCTGTACCACAAATTTCTTGAATCCTGTGTAAGCCTGTAACTTTACTGTCACGTTCAGCATCTATTCGGATTACAGCATTCTGACAATTTACTGATTCGGAAGTGATTGACCCTTCGATTTCCATTTTAATCAAATGAAGTAAAATCTGAATTAAATAAATTACTGGAAACAAAAATATCAAAGGTCTTGTTGTATCAAATATTTCTATGTAAGTTTGTATCAATTTTAAATTAATTTTAGTAATATGCATCCGACACATACACAACTATTCAAGAAATGTGCAAGCAGTTTTGTGATTTCTTTAGTTTTCATTTTAATGAAAAGGTGGAAAGTTTTTGGAAAGATTAAATTTGTAAATCTAAGCAAGCGATATCATACTTGGTAATCTGGTCGTACAGTGATTTCCCAATCGCATATCAAGTCTTTATTATATTTGATCGGATAACCAGGCGAAACAAACCAGCCACTGGTCATTTGATCTGTACGCTTTATTCGCTGACCACAGTGTCGAGCAGTAGCTGAAATTTTAATATCTAACGACTCCTTTTTGCTTTTATTACACTTGACAAATTTAACTGCAACTTTTTATTCTTACAGTGATTATGCATTCAAATATTTTTCTTGAAAAAAGTCGCATGGCTTCCGTAAGGTTTGGCTAATTTACACTGTCTTAATCACGCATTTTTGACTTTTCATTTTGATTCGATCCTTATTTGCACATTCAACTTACTAATTATTCAAGCTTTCTCATATTCGCTTCCTTCTTGAGAGTTTCAATCTAAACTTTTCATTTAGAATCTTAAATCACCTGATAAAACGGAGTTTCAGTTAATGTAATAATAAGTATTGATCATTTGCTTTAATGATAACCATTTGTGGGAATTTCTTCAGCAAAAGCTTTGCGAATTCTGTAGATAGCTTTGAATCCGTTTCCAGTACCTTCATGATCGGATCGAAAGAAAACTCTCAGCTCATGGGAACCAAAAGCAGTCACCGTGGGTCCCGGAAAGGTATTAGCACAATAACGTGCTGAAAGTTTACCAATTTTCGAACTACCGAGTGCTGTAATTCGCACGCAAAAAAAGCTTTAAATTACACAAGTCTTACCCTGAAGTTGTAAATATTCCAATCCATTTTTGATGAAAACGTCTGATATTTCCACAAAATCAGAACAACTAAAATATGTTAGCTTAACGAATTTCGTTTTTAATAAATTCTTCAAAAAATTAAAACCTAAGGATTGAATTTATTTTAAAAGGTTACAAAAAAATTTAACTCATTCAAGTTTGTATTTTCTTGCCGATATTTTTTGAAAAGTAGAAGCAAAGAGAAAGGCAGATCTCGAAAAAAATAGTAATTATAACTGCTATCAATATATTTATTATTGCAATGACAATTTCCACTAGTTTCTTGCTATTATTTTGTAGTAATAATAATTAGAACCTTAAGATGATATAATGAGGATCTTCAAGACGCTCATAATTCTAGAGTAAGACAACTGTACCTGTTTCCAGTCGATGACTTTTCATCAACGTGTAAGGCAAACTGCTCAAAATAAACTTGAATTTGCTCATTTTGCTTTGCCTTGATAATATACGTGCAGTTAGTGTCCAATGGATACTGTAAGAACAATTTTATACATATAATTTTATTAATTAAGTAATCAATAAAAATGAAGTATCTTACATTGGTTGGATATCGTGGGCTATTGAACCATCCCTGAGGTTTTGTGAATAAAAACATACACTGATTAGAATCGCCTATAGGCTCACCAGGAATACCAAAATCTGCAAAAAGCGTTTACTGACAAATTCATCCAAAAAAAGAAATAATAAAACAATCACATGTCAAATAATAATGATTATGCTAATACAATGATTATTTTGCATGTATCTATTGTAGTGGCGATAATAGCACCATGTATCACCTTGAGCATTATTATTATTTTTTGATGAAAATATTTCATTTTTTTAAATCGTTTTTGCATGAGTTCTTGACGTAATAATATAAAGAACAATATTAAGGAATGCTTCTGAATGCCATATAGGTTTATAATTTGGAACCTGTTTTAAACTGAATTTTGGCTCGGAATCCAAGAGGCTTTAGCCCATCGTCTTCTGAAACTTTTTCGTTTGAACTAAATACCACTACCATCCTCGGTCCATTACTAACATATGGACCCAAAGCTCGCGAGCCTGTAATTATTATACGTTTTCACGAAATCACAAAATTTTTGTGCTAAAAATCGTAGTAAGTTCATAATTTCCTACTAACATTAAGCCTCAAAAATTTGTTCAGGACGCATAAACAGCAAACTTCTTGAACTTTATTTTTGTCAGCCGAAGCTAATATCTTCAACCCAATCCGGGATTATTGCACCTCTTTTAATCTAGCTTAAAATTAGATATATTCATCCCTAAAATTGTGTCTCACTTTATTCCAGGAGCATTTTGTATCCTGCAATTGACCTTGCGATAAAATTCGATTTTAACAAGAGTCTCAGAAAGAAAACTGACCATTTTGAAGACGATCACATAGCGTGGCATCATAATTGCTTTCTTCACCTGAGGCAAGTACACTTTTGATGCTAGCCGGGAGTAGCGCTATTCCAACATATGACGTAGCACATGGTTCATCCTCGTAATCAGTAGAAGACTGCCTGAATTAAAATTACAGTTATTGCAAGTCGGAAATTCTACACATTAATTTGAAAAACTGTTTGTAGTAACTGGAATAAGAATACAATGATTTAAATATTTTCCTAATTTGGAAAGGTAAAACTACAGCTAGTAACAGCTAAGAAATGCTCACTAAAATTTTTTCATGACGTTACGCAGAGTCCATAATTCATAGCACGTATTGTTAGGAGGAATTTCTTTCTTAATATAAATGATGGCGACTTTACAATATGTCAATAAAATCTCAAACTCCAGTTTATTTATCTATTTAACACAAAAATTGCTCATATTAAACAATTTAATTTCCAAAAGAACTGCAAAAATAATTTTTGAAAATAGACTCGCCTGCAGTTTCCAGAAGATCTGCATGAACTTCTCAAATTTTGAACAATTATAAATTACGTAAAAATATTTTCAAATGTTTTCCAGTGACTAGCTTTATTTTTCAACATTATTAAGGTTTAATAATTCTATTAAATGAACCTAATAGCGTTTTCCGTGAGAACAGCAAAATTTTCAAACGTCAGTATAACTTTTTCGAGGTTTTGTGCTCCTTGTAAACCGTCAATAATGAATGTACATGTAGTATTGGCGGGATACATTAGTGGATACTAAAAATAATAAGTACAATTCTAATGAAAATTATATGAGGATAGTTTTTAATCGCTTAAAAATTTTTGATTCTATTTCCTAACTTCCAAGTTCGGAATATGAGATGATAGATAAAAAAGAATTAATGAAAGAAACTGTACGGCTATTTGATGCTCTGATTTTTATGATATATCTGCCAATACAAAGTTTAAAGACTATAATTCTCAAATAGTATGGTATTTAGTTCATTTTTACATTCGCAGTGCATCAAAAAGTTAAAGATATTTCTTATTACAGTACTTACGCATTTGCAAAGAAGAAAAGTAACCTTTGGTGACTGTATATAATGAGTTGATTCTCGATTACTCTCAATGCGAAGATCGCATTCCGACCCACGTAAATGAGTAACTCCAAGTTGGTTATTCATTAGCATTAATACATCTACATAGCGACTCGAAAATTCATAGTCCATTGAGAACCTGCCAGTGAATATGTATTTAATTGTTTATAACATTATTAAAATGCATTTTAATAGACGTAATGACGTACCCACGTGGATCAGCTTTAGCTGGGCTAGTTGTATTGAATTCAATGTAAGTTTTTGGTCCAAATGAATAAATTTCCATACGTTGTTGTAAACCACAAACTTTTCGAATAATTGGATATGCGTTGCTTGGACCATCGTAAATTGTTAGCAGATCATAAGGACAACTATAAATTTATGGACGCAAAACTGTTCAGTTTTATTCAAATTTTTTCATTCAATAAAACTTCGTAAATATGAATATGTGAATTTAAATGTTCATTTTATTCCCAATATTACAGAATAAACTTACTGTTCTCCACCAAAATAAATATCAAAGTCACGAAAAAGTAAACGAACACGCTGACCCGTTTTACCTTTGAGCAAATACGTACAACGGAAATTCTGAAGAAAAAATGAACTGTCTTGTAAAGAAGATGATAATCAAATCAGAATCTAATGATTAGACACCGAAACCTCCTGACTTCAGTAATTTGTGAAGCCGTGATTGTAAAATAAAATGAAACCGAATTCATTTGAACAAATCACAAATATCTCATTAAAGTAAGATTACTATTGACTCTGTGAAATATTTCTTACTAAGTTAATAACTCATCAGTATAAATATGCTTTAACACTAATCAGATTCTTCATCGATTTCTTAAAAATGCTCTGCGATATTCACTTTTCAATACATTCTTCACATTTAGTATAACATTCAAAAAACTTAAATGTCTGCATGCATTAGTCCGTGCCTAGAGCAGAGTTACTCGTTTGTATGCTTCATTTTTATTTATATATCCTACTGGAACATTTTGCAGAAATCTCGATCTACAACATCATATTTGTTACGACATGTTCTCATAAAGTCATACTCAAACCTGTCACACTAACGGATCATACTTGTGTTTTCTCTCAAAACTACTTAATAATATCAGAAACTTACTTTTGGATATGTTCCTGGATAAGTTGGCGAAAGTATAGTACCACTTTTCCTTAAAATTTTGGCATCAGTGTTGTGAATGATAATTATTGTTGCCTTTATCATCATTTGCGTCATTTACGTCAATATATTAATTCTCCATTACTTATATATCTTGACAAATCATAAAATGCTCTTGGCATTATTTTGAATTTAAGTAAATGTTTGCATCAAAACTGAAATGATTTTCAACAAAAATTGCTTGCCTGAACTTAGAATCAATCACAAAATCACATTTCCCTGGTGGTATTTTTTCACCAGCTTCATAGGGAGCTGTAAGTTGTGCAAATACATTAGCTAATTTAATCATTGACATGCTAAAACCACGAGATCAAAATGTTGAAATAAAGTTAATTCTTTAGCCTATCAGAATTGCACAACTCTTTTGAGCTGAGCTTTTTTAATATGTTAAAGACAAAGTTATTTAAAATGACATTGTGGAACATATCAAAATTGTTTGAAACTCTCGTTCAGGGATATTTTCTAAAATTATTATTGCTTATTGCAACAGGGAGTCCAGAATAACTCATAAACTACTTGAATATTAATCAAGGAAAAGCAAAATTTTGATAAATCACTTTTCTATTTGTCCTCAAGAATATTAATCCCGTCCACTTAAAAATTTATAAGTCTTAAATCTACATAATCAAAATTATGAGTGAAATCAGATGTCATCTGCATGTTTTGGCTTCGCACTGAGGCGGCTGAAACTTAACATGGGATGGGAGGATCTCAGTTTTCAAAATCTTCATATCAAGAATTGATAGTAGAGTTATTCAAAGTAATTAAGTGGCATCATGAAGAGACTGTCATCTGTGGAAAATGTGTTATGAGAAAGCTTAAAGTCATGTTTATACATAAATATTAGCCAGTGGTAATCTTTATAATTAGAATATAGTGGTCACGATGCACAGTCCGAATAATTGCATCTTCTGATAGCATTTCACCATTTCAGTCCATATTATCTTATCAAAGCAGACGTTATCACTTGGAAATGTTTTTATAATAAAATGTAATAATGGATGTGATTTATCGAGCAAATAATAGACAGAAGTTTTCTCACCATCGGATATGAAAGCGTATCGACCGCGAAATTTTAGAGCATTACTTTGACTTGATGTATATCGAGAATGAAATACTAATACTATAACCCGATTTAAACTGAAATGCACAAAATATCCATTTCCACTTTGCACATTTGCACATGATTGAAATCAAGGAATCGCTCTTACTCTAATTGCATTGATTTCAGTTCGTCAATCAAATCTTTGATTTAAAAGTGCGATGTTTATATTTACTCAATTTCAGTCCCTCAACTGCTCAAAATTTGTAAAGTGATTGAACTTCGTAACATCTGTACATTATTTTCTTTGTTTTATTGCTATTTTGTTCAGAATAATAAATGAACATCCAAAATAAGTGAGTGAGAAGTGAATCCAACAAAAACATCAATGAGGACTGAAATGCAATTTTCGTAGAACATTACTACTTACAAAATGAAAGTGCTAAGAGTAACGATAACAAAATAGTTTTGATAAAAAACATTTTTTCGTTGAAAATTTACCTAATTCTTACGTAAGGCGAAATGGTACCGCAATAGCGGCCACCAAAGGACGCCGATAGTAAATCGTCATCAGGATTTTCTAGTTCTGAGTAGATGTCAACATATTCAGTTTCGCAGCTAAATTTTGTTAAGTTTAACGAAGGTCTTTTTACTTTTCAGTCAGGAAATGAAGACTGAGCACGCAAAATATGAAAATGAATTCATTTCTATTTCTCAAGGAATCAGAATGAAAGAAATTGGGATTTTCACTAAGAAAGCATAGTTTCTGATCATACACAAGCAATACTTTTGATTATTTAGAGTACTCTCACTTGTCAGTTGTTCCAGCCAAGAGGAACTGATCAAAATTAAGTTTTACTCGTTGCCTCGGCCCCGCGACAAACGTGTAGATACACTGTAACAGCCAATTTCAGTATTAATTACTAAGCTATTGAATTCCCAAGTTTGTTTTACAAAGTAAAAAAAAGTGATTAATTCGTATAAATTCTTTAAAAAACTGAATTCAAACTTACCTTTTCCCATTTCAAAACGTTTTTGGTTAGATAACAAATAACTAATTTTCCATAATGTTCCAACTTATGCATCACTTAAGAATCGGTCTTACTTGCATGCTTTTAGGACCGTCCGGCCGAGAAATGTACTCAGAACGAGTAGATGGAGCAGGTAGCATTGGCAGTTGGAATTCCCCTTCGACTGTGGATGAATCGAAGATGTGATCACATTCTAAAGCTCACTTACCGATCGAACTGCATTCACTAATGATTTTACGTCACGATTGTGCTTTATAATGTTATGTCCCAGTGCTATGAATACTTTCAAAAGTTTGCGAATTTTGATTTTTCATTCAATATTATATCTAAATTATTTTGATTTCGAGTAATACTTTGCTGACATTGATACCATCATTATGACAAATAATTAATTATATTAGTATTATTTACATCACTGTTATTTTTGTCAACATTTTCACTATTCATGATTATTATTATTATTCCATTATTATTGATTGTTATCATTAATTATCATTAATTGTTATTATTATTTGATAATTATAATAGTTGATAATGATAATTATAATTATAATAGCAATTACAATAATGAACAACGTTGTATTTCGGAAGTATATTTGTGATTTTGTATTTTTGAAATAGACTGAAAATGGAGCTTACAAAATACAATACCAATTCTGAATTTTCATTTAATTTGTAGCTTGTGCTCTCGCATTTCCACGCTTAACCAAGCAGTGATAAAAGAGTAAACTTTGTGTACTTACTCTTCATAAGACAGCACGCCTTTCAACCAGAAAACCATAATAACTATTAGCAAACAGAAAATAATACAGGTGAATATGAAGGCAAAAATAATGTCACAATCCAAATTGCGGCAAAATGAGCAATCTTGCTTAGTCTCGGCTTCCTTCTCGAAATTTAATAAGTTAATCCTCGCTTCGACTACTCGCTCCAATGTGCGCATTTGCGCCATCACCCAAAACAGTTGTAAAAAATGATTCTGTTTCAAGCAGATAATTCACTTTTCTTTTTCTAGCGAGAAATTTGTTGGAACTTACCAACAAATTTCTGTTTAAAATGATACAATGAATTGGTATTTTGCAAACAGAGTGCCGAACTCAGATCACTTTGATTCTACAATGAAGGCAAAGGCTTTTGTGCTGCATATTAGCATCCATATTTTCATAAACAGAAGTCGAGAAAGTGAATAAACAAATTCAAAACTAAAGTATTAGACTAACTTTGGACAAGATGATATTGGTAAAATTGAATGAAACTGATCTGTTAAGAAATCTGTTAAATCACAAAAAATTTAATATCAATGCCTTTTTAGTAATAATTTTGTTTTCCAAATAATCTTAAAGCAGTAAGCCATGAATTTTGAAATGAACTGGATAGAAACTTTGCGAACAATAATTCATACTTGAGAGCTTTTTGTACGAGCAAACAAATCATCACTGATAGTATATTGAATTTGTCATTAAAAATAAAACTCGCTTGAAGCAAAATGTTTTTCATTATTGCTAAATATTAAGAGGAAGGTAGGAAGGAGACTTTATCAACAGGAAAGCAGTGAATGAATTAATATAGTAGAGTTTCAAGCTCTTTTTTTTCATCAAAAAAATAAAAGTTTGCTATCCGTAAGACACGTACACATATTTCTCTCTGAAATGATTGGATGTGATTAAATGATTCCAGTAAGTCGACTTTTGAAGTGGTGAAGTTTGATAGATCAACAGAAGACTAAAAAGTATTGCAACACTTATGAAAGAACACTTCACTTTTCAATTATATATTTTAAAAAATTATTCCAACTCATCTCGTCGACAGTTCCGATGCATCTGAATCCCTCCAAAGTTATTTCACTTCTAGCAACAATTTTCACCTTTTCAACAGTTACGACAATTGTAATCAATTCATTTTTCAGTGAAACATTCATCTCTGAATAAGCAAATAAAAACCTGGCTTCATTTGTTAAGAAGCATACATTTATTTCAATCATACAATCGTTTCAGTGAATCCAAAACTCACCCAACTCAGTGCACTACTTTTCATTTCTGAAGGCGTTTTTTGATTTTACAGTAGCTCTACCTAGTTGATTTGTCATGGCTCTAAAGTAATTTTCAATTACAGAAAAGAACTTTCCTGCTTTTTATTTCAGATACACTTCTACTGTAAGTAATTCGAAATGTAATCCAACCATCTCCATTAAAAAATAAAAAGATCTTTAGTCTATCAATCTTAAAACCTAAAATAATTTTTGCTTTTATAATTTTAAAAGTCACTTTTCGACTTCAAACCTTTGTCATGCAGAATTCTTCAAGTATCAATTATTAATGCAATTATCTGTTAACTGCTCAGCAGACAAATGAAGTCTGCTGAGGTGATAAGACAAGCGAAATGCTAAACATTGAAACATTTTCAGTAAGTAAACACGTCAATCAATATCGTATTTAAATGACTGCATAATTTTGAGAATAGACTTGTTGAAATGGTATACGAATTGTGAAAATATTGATAAGACGGCTGCTTAGCAAAATCTAAAGAGTGTGTGCCCGTGAAGTGGTAGTATTTATCTAATTTAAATGTGCACACTTTGTTTACAAATTCTTTTCAGCGCCAATAATTCATCCTAATTCAACTTTCTTCAGTCATTAGCAGTTAAAGTATTACTCACAGTGCTCATGTTTAACCATTATATTATACACTTTTTTGTTTCAATAGGATTTTCTGAAGTATACACCAATCTGTAATCAAGATATTTAATTTTTTAAATTTTAGCTTGCAGATTTACTGAAAAATTTTTTGAGCTTTTGTAAACAAAAGCAACAATTTATGAATATGACAAATTTTTGGTTGCAGTATTTAATCTCAGATTAAAAATTTATGAATAAATGAAAATCCACTCAATGTGCTGTAAATTACAACCATAATCAACTGTAGATAATAAATGCATAACTACGATTTTATTCAAGCAGCGTCACTTAAGTAGCTTCAATTAGAATTATTTGAAAATAACTGGTGTTATTCGGTGTGATTATCACTAAATTCATTAAGCCCGGTCAAGTATCTGATTTATTTTACTAGCTGATCATGCCAAATTATACATCAGTGCATGAGTAAAATAAATAAAGTAAAATGATGAAAAAAATATACAAACCAAAAATGCCACAATTTATAGAGATAATCTTTGCCAATTTACTGATTTCAGACTAAATTGGATTCTTTCATGCAAATCTTTCACTCCTAAACTAAACCGATTTGTATATAGTGACTGCAATTTAAGCTGCTGATCAATTGGTACTCACTCTTCATATTTTAATGAAAAATTATTGAATTTCGTTGGCATAAGATCAAACTTTAGACCAAACTAAACTAACTCAACAAAGCACAGGAAAAAAGTAGCAGCTGTTTGCAGTTGATGAATGAATGAGTGGATGCATAAAATCGAGCAGTAAGCTAAAGTGAATGAGTAATCTCCGCCGAGAATGTTTACTCAGACTCAAAGGTAGGGCACAAAAGTGATCTATTCTGGCAGAATCAATCAATTTTAGTTCTGATTATCAAACACTTTTTGGTGTGAGAAAGAGACAAATCTAATCAAATCTTAGGGATAATGTCAATCACATAATCTCACATCTTTCTTTGTTAATAAATAAAACTGTTTCCGAGGAAAATCCTTCTAAATTCGAGACCGTTAATTGCAATCAATGAAGAATTTGCAAGAAAACGCTATTATTGAGATCGGGAAAAAAAATTTCTACAAAGAAAAATCAATACGCGATAACTTGCCAAGTCTAATCTCTTCATCCCTCAATAGAAATATTTTCTTTGAAAAATAGATAAAATATATTTCAAGGAAATGATATAGTCGTGTATTCATATTCATAACAGCAAATCGTAATTAGATGTATTAATTTAGCATTCATTTTTGCGAACAGTTAATGACAAAAATTAATGCATATGAAAGCATAACATAAAGGCACAATCGTGAACAGTTATAAGCATTTTATTATTTGAAATACACATTGTAATAAGAATTTATTTGAATCTATGACCGAGTCACTTATTCCATTTTGTACACTTAATCTTGTATAAAATATCAAAGTTTGCTCTCTGATGTTTGGGATATTCTACTAGTTTATTCAATGTGATGGAATGACTGCAAATGAAGAACTAATTTTCCACTTCTTAAATATAATTTGATTTTAAAAATGTAATTTCTAAATGATTTACAATCAAAAAACTTACGAAATATTACTTCCACGTCTTTTCCACCTTCGACTGCGTTCGTATCACACCATTTCAAGCAATTTAATGAAACAGATAAAATAACGCTGAGTAGCATTGCAGCATGTCATCGGAATTATTGCTACATTATTCAAATCAAGCAACCAATTATCTTTATCTTAAGCACACTATTCTGTAGTAACTAGCTGAAATCACATGAGTGCATGGATATTATGTCACGTGAAAATAAATGAACAAAAGGAAACGTTGTTTCCTTTCTTGAGTTCGTCACGCGCAATGTTAGATGCGCATTAATGCAAGTCATTTTTCACATACGTTGGAACTTTTTGCTTCAAGTAAATTAATTTTCTAGCATAGCTTTGCAATGACACAAACGGATTTATTTAGATGACAAATGTAGTAACAATGCAAATATGTTGCAAAAACAAAATTGAAAAAAAATTTTTCAGAAGTACTAAAACTATTGAATTCGCTGACTTCCAAATTAGTGATTCGATACTAAATTTTAAGTGGAAAAAACAATCAAAAAATATTTATTACTCCAGAAAGAGCCTCTTGATCATTAAGTTTTTGGCTTGTTTAAGCTCAAATTTATGAATCTGACATCCATATGTACCAATTGCAAACTGCAATACTCTCAATAACACTTAAAAACGAACTGAATGAAACACTAAATATACTATAGAGTACTTAATATGACAAATATATGAAAACTCAAATGGAGTTTTCATATATTGGAATACATTTGCTTCAATCGACCGAAAAACTTAATAAAAGAAATGTCTGCTTTTGGAACAAAGCACGTAGATATGTACTTGACTAAACTTATTTATTTTCAAGAATGTTAATGGAAATTTCAGTCAAATTTTATCAAATCATTAGCGTGAGGATTGCTAATTTGCATTTAAAATTAGTGAAATTCACTTAAAATACAGCGATAATTTAGAGTACTACTTTTACTTGCAAGTGTGCTCGCCGTTTTCAAGAGCTTTTCAAGTTTGCAATCAAAATAGCAATTGTGCAAAAACGAAGAATTGTTGAATTGTTACTTGCAGGTGTACATAATTGGCAGGCTAGCATTTTATTATTCACTCCGAAGTTATTATTATAGTTTTTACGTTTTCACGGCTTACAAACGATTATTGCTATCATGAAGTAAAGCAGAGAACGCTTGCAGTGAAGAAATGCCTGACTACCACCTTGCCAAGTACAAGATGTACTCAGAGTGATAATTCCTAAAATTAACTATTTCTATCATTCTTTGTGAGTTAAATAGGAATCATTTAAGACATAATAATAATGCTAATGCTGTTGCTTATTAAAACAATCATTTTCAAGCACAATGAACTTTTAATTTAGTTTTTAATAACTTAGCAACAAGATGAGAGAAATGGTAATCATCACACATATAAGTAAGTGAACTGAGATAACAAATAAACAGTGCAAGTAAAGCAGATTTTTTGAAACGCGAAATGCATTTGTATTCCTTTCCCTTACAAATTGTAAAAAAAAAATATATTTAGAAGTGTGTTTAATATTTTCAAAGTTTGAAAGTCATGTAATCGTGGTTGATAATTTTGTTGCAATAATAGTGTGCAAGGAAAGACTATTTTTCTTGCACACTTCCATTTCAGGATTTATTAAATGCTTTGCATCAATTATTTCTCAGTATTAATGTATGTATGATTTTCCACTTAAAAGAATAGAAGTCGGAAAGCGAAAAATTGAAGTGAAAATGGTCAAAAATTAGGAAGACAAAAAAATTACAAACATTAGCTTAAATACGCTATTTATTAAGCAAGAAATGTATCAAAAAAATTGGTAGTATAAAAAAGATATAAGCAATAAAATAGATAAAAAGTGAAATTTGAAAGCAAAATGGAACGATTGTAAAGGAAGACTTGTGACTGAGCTCGCTGCTGTTGGCTTAGTCTAGAACTCGAACTGAACTAATATGCCCTCTGGCATTTCTGATCCGATAGAATGTTTGGTAAGTACTCGTCAGTCTGAGTGGCAATCTTTTCAAAGATAATAATTTTATGCTTGATTATCATCCAAGACCAATACTGCCCTGGGCTATTTGCATTCTATTCACTTCCTTATCACAGCAATTTTCATGAAAAAAAGAATGGAAATGTTCCAATAAATTTCCGCAACTTTTTCCTAATACACATGCTTACAATTGATCAAATGATCAAACTTCACTTACTGCAATTTAAACTTTTAAACTGAAATGAAAAGAATTAAAAAAACAAAGTACATAGAAAAACTTTATCCATTATTTGGAAAAAGATTCGTTCGAAATTTAAGATAGATAGATGAGAAATATTTGTTCTAAAGCAAGAAAGATTGAGATTTTTCTTTGAAGATGTGGAAAAGTTGAGATTACTTTAAACCAAAAACTCATACTTCAGCACATTATGTTTTCCCTGTGATGACAAGAGCTGATAATTTTTGCGGATGCAAAATTTTTTTGATTTTATCAGTTTTTATAAGCTCAAGTCGGAAATTAATCCAATAAAATAAAACTGGAATTGGAATTAAACTTTATTAGTTTTATTAAGTATCGATTAATGTTTAACTGCCTTTACAAATCAGCTTTATAATGTTGCCTAATATTTCAGTTTAGTCAAGGATAGTGGAAATTTTTGAGAACTAGAAAACTGAGATATTGAATACTCCAGATATCATTACTGCTAAAAAACAAAAAAAAAAATTCTATTCAAATATTAAAATAAACCAGTTTTAATTCAGAGCATTCACATTTCTCTAATACAGCCATTTATTTAATCTGCTTCATGAATTTGGAAATAATATTCGAGTGATATGAAAGTCTCTGAAGGATCAGCAACATATACATAAATCCTTCATTTTTTTTAAATGTCATCACAAACAATATTGAATTTAATGCCTGATACAATGTTCATATTGTTACACATACCTATCAAAGTGGTCATGCATTTTGCACGTAAATATATTTTAGCATTAGACATACTTGAGTATAGTTATTACGCGAAAATTACCTAATAATTTCATCAAAAGACAAATATCTTTGAAAAGTGAAACGTGCATGAAGGAAAGAGAGCAAATTGTCCAAAATGATGCATACGTGATATTTATGAAATTGAAGTAATTTATGAGGGAAGAAGTAAAATGAATGAGGCACAGACAGCTTAATGAAGCATCTGAGAGCCTGCGATGAAGTTCAAATCAAATTTGGCTGATGAAGCTGGCATAATTGAGTGCGTGAGGAGGCCTACTTCAAAGATGCTAATAAGTCATTAAAACTCCTCGGCCATGAACGACATACTTATCGAATGATCAGTTTAGCAGTGATTGGATTCATCACATTCAGCGATGCTATCAGTGATACTAACAGCTAGTAATATGAAGAATAATAATGAATCAGAACGCTTAACTTATTTTTCTGTAAAATAACATGCATCTTTGAACTTCATTAACTGTACTGATACTTGAAAAAAGTTATTAAATATCCTGACATTAAACAGTGGACTCTTTTATTTTTTTATGACTTCACTGACACTGACATATATATATAATCAATTTGCGCAAATTATTTACTCAAAAAGTAGTATTTTAAAGCAGTTAACACGTGACTCACACAAAATGCAGATGGGCTCTGCTCGATTATGGACATGCTTAAACGGATTTATACATAAATCACTTCTTGAAGGGATAATATTGCAATGCTGATAATAAGATATGTGTAAAGAAAAGGCCTTAAAGGCAGACTTTTCTTTACAGCATGCAATGCGAAAAAAACATTTCCTCGAGGTGACTTAGATAAAAATGACGGATGACGATAATGACATGACTATGATAATGATGACGATAATGGTTGTGAACGGCACTGCAAATTGAGTTGTCCGGCAGATGGCAAAATATTTCTCCTCCACTGTGTTGTTGATTGCTTAGTCAGAATGTCTGTTCAAATAATCTTTTTTAATCTTGCAGTTGGAAAAGACCTAGAAAATGCCAAACAGCTAAAAATTTCGAAGATCAAAAAAGAGTTGGGTAAATATTTTTCCTTTCTTTGACATTTATTATCAAAAGATGAAAAAGAAAATACACATTCTAATGATTTCAAACATTTCTTTTAGGCTTAAAACCAAATCTGAACAGAAAGTTAAAAAATGTGAGCAATGTGGAAAAATCATAAGTCAGAAATTAAAACACATCTGTATAGAGCTGTAGTAATCAGAACCACTTATCGCTAAATATTAACGTAAAACTTTAAGGCTCTGGAATCAAGTAATTAGAATAGAAAAGCTTATTTGTGCTAAAATAGCCTTAAAGACATCAAAGTGAAAAAATATAAAAAATATTTGTGCAAAAAGAATAAAGTTTGAAAATGTAGCAATTTTATTTTCGTTACTGCCTGTGAAATGAAAATTAAATTTCAACTTGGAAAGAAGATCCAACTTTGTTCTGCTTTACTTTATTGTCAAATTGAAATTCTGAGTGAAGAAAAGTTTTTAGAATGTTCTTGAATTGAATGAGTTAAAATCATGGAGTTGTTTTAGGGAACTGCAGAGAAATTTTGCACAAGATAATTTGTTGGGACCTTCAGATTATCAGAAGTCTATATAAATTAAAAAGAGCTTGTTCAAATTCATAAGACTACATTTTCCTATTTTAGATCAATTTTCATATCTCTCTCCTTTATCAGCAATGATATTTTCATTGGCCAAAAATTACGAGAATAATTATTTGTTATTTTTCATCAATTCATCTTCAAAAATCTGCTCAATATTCATGTTATGCAACTGTAATCCACGTAATTCAGTCAAAATTTGTAAGATTATATAATGAATTATTTTATTCGAATAATAAAAGGTTATTACCTTTCAATATTTGAAAGGTTATTACCTTTCAATATTGAAAGGTAATAACCTTTTAAAAAAACTGACTTGCCATGCAGTACTCATAATGTTTTCTATCAAAGATTATTACTGTATTTTGATAATGTAATACATCAACACTTACAATTTATAAAAACTTTTATATGCGGGAAAATATAATTATTGCAAGATAGATGGATGAAATTGTTTCAACGAAAATAGTTTAAATAGAATGACTTTTTAACCTATTAAAACTTCTCGGCAATTTTTAACGGTTGTTGTTAACGTTCAAAATGCACGTAAAATCAATTTTCATGCACGTAATGATAAAAATACTTCGTAAAAATTCAATATAAAATTCTATTTTTCAATTTACCAGTTTCATAAAGCCCAATAAATTTAATTGTAACCAAAGCAAAATTTAGTTCAAAAGCATATTTCGGACTCATTTCGACTCGAATTTTCACTTCAGTCCCTGCAAGTAAACAACAATTTTGAAACGTGCGTACTGCACTTTATTTGCAATATAAATAAATGAAAGAGCGTCAAAAAACGAAAAAAAATCAGACATAAAAATTAGCTTGTAGTAAAAATTAGACTACATATGCAACTCTTTGGATATTTTGGCTGCAACAATGATAAGTCTGAAGTGCGTCAATAATTTGCCATTGAGTTGCGCTAATATTTAAGTTGATACTTGAGTAAAGTCCAAGATACTCTGGAAACCAATGATAGCAAAAATGGATCTACGCAAGAATTGTTCATCTGACTGAAGTAATGAAGTTTTTGCATTGTTGAACAAGCACAAGGTTCCTAACTTTATGTCAGGGAATTCTTGACTGAAATGTCAAGCTTGATTTTACTTCACTTCTGATTTCAAAATGGCTTAAAATTTTTGTTTTCTGACTTACACATGTATTGGAAAATCTGGATGAATATAAAGCCTTTATTTATTTATCAATAATGTTTAAACAGATTGCTAATATTTTTCAAGCAATGAAAAATGACTATATAGAAAAATTTGAGGCGCGAGTACTCACGTCTTAAATATTCCTGTCGACTTTATATATTTATAAATACTATGCATTAATACTATGCATTAACTATAGTCACGTAAAACTAGGTAGGACCTTTGGTCAACAGCTTGAATTATTTCACATCAACTTTTAAGTTAATAACTCACTTGAATAATAATTCACAATCCTCAGGATCATTACATTCCGTTGTTTTGAAATAAAACGCAATTTTTTGCTTGTTTCCCATTTTTGAAATTACTTGCGCCTAAAAAAATCAACCACATTTAAACTAATATGCAAATAAATAAACACATGCAAAAGCACTTTTTTTTCACACGTTTTACTTGAAATTCAATTCTTATTGATGATATCACTAATATTAAAAAGCATTTAACTCATAATTACTTAAATGATGTGTCTAAAATTGTTTGCAGTTTTTTCTGAAAGATGTTATTAGTTCAGCGTAATTATTATCTAATCATCTCAATCTTACAAACGTGTTCAAGAAGTGCCGAACTAGCAAAAGCTATACAATGACTGTTTTGAGTTATCAGCTTCAAAGATTCATACATGCCATGTTTTAAACTGTTGTACAAGCTCAGCTTTATCATCAGTTTTTATCGCAAAAGTTATTGCTTCTACACCTTCTCCGCCAAATGTCATAACAATTACTTTCATGGCTGTTTTACTTAAGCTGCAAGATATCATTTAATTATGCCTTTCAGCAGGACAAGTGAAATTAGTTTATATTATTGAAGTCAACATATGAAAGCAGCCGCTCTAGGTTAAATAAAAAATTGGAATTAATTTATTTTTTCCACTTCTTTCGAGATTCATAGTTTTTTAGTTGCACATTCTTACTCAAATTTCTTGACCTTTGTAACATTCTTAGTCTTAAACCCACAGTTGTTGTTTCCTAGAGTTTTTGTTATTCGCTGCCAAAAACAAAAATAAGTTCTGATGCTTGTTAACATATAATTGCTGAAGAATAACAGTCATTTCTTTGATATTTAGGTAGTCAGTTCTGGCTGCTTTCTATATCCATGATAACTGTTTATTAACAAAATGATTAATGCAAACCTTACTTGTCCGGGGGATACTTGAGATATCACACAAACTTGTCTATTCGTCAGATTCATCAGTTTGTTTTGATATGCACCTAAACACTCGAGATAGTGATGAGCGATAGAAGTTTCAACCATTCCGATGAAAGATGCAAAGAATATTGTAATTTTCGCATCTCTCTAAATAAATTTGTTGCTATATTAAATTAATTATTCAATTATTCATCATTATAATGTCATGCTTAATTTGAATATAGTAATTACAAGTTGAAATGTTACAATTATTTCAGTACTAATGTGTAAAATTTTTCTTGAAATTCATAATTTGAATCATAAACAATATTGGAGGGAACGTGAAATATACTTGCAAAATAATTATGCTTAGATGCTACTGGAATTATATGACAAGCAAGCAGTAGCATTATTTTTTTAATAATAAATAATTCAGCATTTCACCATTTTTTAAAGCAAAATATTATAGTGACATCTTTAAATTCTGAATAGTTTTTATATTGAAATCAAAAAATGCTAATAGATTTTCTGTAATATGGCAAATTTCTTACAAAACAAAAAATGATAAAGCATGCTCCTTCAAGTTTTCTCGCCAACAAAAAGTTAGTTACTTCAGTACCATAATTCAAATTACCGATATTATAATTTAATTTACCTTTACATTACAATCAACAAAGAATGACAAGTGTTCATCGTTCCATTTCTCAGGTATTTGGTATTCTGACCTGAATAAATTTTATATAAAAAGCGCTAAATTCAAGTCACCTATGGACATTCTAATCATGTAATTCTTCTACTTATCAATAACTTTTATAAGCTGAGTCAGACGATAGGAAAAATAATGAATAATGTGACAGTTTATTATTATTGCTTGCAACAATTTATTAAAGTTAAATCATTGAGCAAATTATTCTGGGCTTTCAAAAATTAGCATACCTCTAATGATTAGTCATAAAAGTTTTTCTGCGTCAAATTATTTCTCTAGAAATTTTATATAAATTCAATGAAATTGTTCTCAAAACTGGAAATTATTTAAAATTATTTTTTAATAAAAATTGATGTGAAAATTTTGATTACTTTGTTATTATAAAGACTGAAGAACTTTTAAAAAAGGTAATTTCATTTGAAAGTAGCACCGCCCACTGAAATTGTTATAAAAATTGGTTTTGTTACAAGCTCTAAATGATCATATCATATCATAGTATATTTAACCGTTCTTGAACCACTGATAATTTAATCAATGATTAAGTATAATAAGTTTGAATAATATGTGATCAACAGCCATCACAATTGCTATAATCAAGATTTGCAAAATATAGTTGTAATTACCATGTATCTTTATGCACATAAATATCTTCACGTCCACATAACGTCGATGGTATAATAAATCCATTATGCACATTTTTCATACGAGCGTTAATGCCCAGAAATGGAAAATTTTCAAGCATCGTTTCTGAATAGAATATTGGCATTTTATTTTTCATTTCCGTTTCCATTTTAAATTCAGGAATTTCATGGAAGCCTTGAGAACAATTAAATTAAATATTCAAAACTGCTTGCTGACTTTTTCCATGAATCGTCATGAACTTCAGTTTTATTTCAGCAAATAAACCTTATAATAACTGCAATAGTAAGAAAAACGCTATTAGCCAAAAAGAAACCGTAATGATGATAACTGTTTTGCAGAGAAACGCTAGCAGTGTTCAAAATAGAAACAGATATTAGTGATAATACTGCTTGTGAAAATTTATGACAAACCACATTATGGATTAGTATTTATTATATAATATGTAATAATAATAATAATAACAATTATAATTATTATGAATTAATATTTGTTATAATAATAAATCATAGATTTATAACCTTAGCAAAAAAAGAACTTGGTAATTATGAACTATTTTTTGACTCCAAATTCTGCTTCTTCCTTTTTAAAGTTCAATTTATACTAAATAAAAGTCTGGTAATAATATTCTGTACGATATAAACCGTTTGGTATCGACCAGATGCAGACTTGTGAGCAGGGTGAATTCTTGAAAATCGCTTTGGAATCTTTTGCAAGTCGCTCATTGCCAAATACAATTACGAATGGTTGCGCAGGCTGAAGCTTTCAATTTTCGCTCTATTGGTATGATTTGACTGTTTTCCAGACTTATTTTTCGAATGAATGGTGCGCATGAGTACTACACTTTACTGTACATCAATGTCTTTGATTGGCACTCGAAATTTTACAAAGCTCAAATGCACTTGCTGATGCTTAGAGATCGTTAGCTAATATATTTCAAAGCTGAAGGCTTCTGTGAAATACTTGAAAATAGAAATTTATTACTGAAACGTTCAAACAGTTTGAAAATTAGTAATTTCAAATGTGACTTCTATCAAGCAAATGAATGAGAAAATTTTGATTCATACTCAGATAACTCTTTGCAGGTTTTGACTATTCGATATTTTACATGAAATATCGCTCAATGCTTTAGCAGTACAGCAAACAACTAATGCTGAAGGAAAGCTTGCAATGCTATGAAAATTTTGGAAAATAAACCGTCACACTGCTCAAAATTTGTTTGCTCAAATAAAATGCATTGTAATGTTTGTGAAGGAAATACACACCTTAGATGAATTTTGGAAGCATTCGCAATGAGCTTGTCTGAGAAAATTTTTTGGATACAAATTATTCTTTCGAATGTAAGCAATCTGATGACGAACTTTCAGTGACTGCTCGGCAAAATCTTGGAAAACATCTATGCTGAATTCATTTTGTTTACATCACAAAAGTTATCAGATCAGTATTTGGAAAAGCAGATCACTATTACTGCTTATATCAATAAATATCAGTCTCAAGATCTACTTCTCTCTCTGAATATGAAATATGAATACAAAAATTATTTTTTCACATATAAATATGTTGTTTGTCAAATCATTGTCGTGTGACATTTCTCACGAGCAATCATTATTATTGAAACTTTTACTTCCGTTTTTTCTTTTATTCTATATGCTTCTTACTTCTTTAACAGTTTTTCCAGATCCTTTAGTTCAGTCCTTTATTTTAGCTCAGTTCAAAACCTTAAAGTATCATTCTTATAACTTAAATTATGCTTCTGAAAAAGCTTTGATTGCACAACGTCACTTGCACAAATAAGCTCAAAAGATTGATCGTGAAAAATACAACTTATCATCTCAAACTGATAAAAATCAAAAATATATTGCAGTGCAAGATTTCTACCAAATGTTGAATGCACACTTTTTAAAAAGCATTTTTACACTTTGGAGTTTTAATTCCATGTTACTGTAAGATTTTTCGAATGGATAAAACTAATTATAATTGATAAACCTTAGCATTGCGATTAAATCCTCGCAGTTCAAATGTTTGGTTATCTTTTTGGAAATTATGGGATTTCCAAAAATATGAATTATTTTTGAATTTTCTCCAAGTTTTGAAATCAAAGAAACTAAGTTTTCATGAGATTCGGAGCCATTTCTTTGCAAATTTGGCATGCCGAATGTATCATTTTTGCTTGCGCCTGCTGTTACCAAATCTGAGAATGAGTAAAATTTACTCTTATTCTTTTTCTGTCTCTAAAATTTTCTGCTTTACTGTCACTAATTCGAAACTAATGATATATATCGTACAAACTGATATTCTACAAAATAAAAATAAATACTCATAATTATATTAACCTTTCACTGATATGGGATGAAGAATGCAACGTCGAAATGAAGTCAGCAACAATAAAATTGCCATTAACATTTTATTAAGAGATTCTAAAAATTGAAACGGAATTACTTTTCCTTTTTTACAATACTTAACTTCGATTGTCAACAATACTGATATTGCCATACTACTACATCACATACCGACATGATACTAAAAATCATTGAAGCAAAATGGTACTTTAAACAATGAAAGAAAAAAAGAGTGGAAGGAAAAACTAAAAAATAGTCCTTTCAATACGCAACTAAAGAATTTGCATAATTCAAGCAAACTCTCTTTTGGAGTAAAAACCCTTTTGGTGATCGCCAGCGATGTTCACATTACTATAACTAACTTTATGGCCACGCATACACACATGTGACTCCAAATGTTTGCCATGGAAAATTTGCATTAATTTTCAAACTTTGGTCACCTACTAACATGCTACTAATCCAACACCAATGCACTAATTCAAACTATGTTATCAATTCAGTGCTGAAATTATTAAAATCATTTTGCTACAATGATTTACATCTGCCTTTTATGTTCAAAACTGCGCAAGATTGAATTTAAATTTAAAATGTAAAGCTATTAACGCGTTGATTGCAACAATTACATTTACTCATTAAGAGAATTTCAATTCATATATGCATGTATGTGACTCTCACCTTTAAAATTTTTAAAAGTGCAAATAGAAATAACAAGTGCTGGATGCAAAAACCATTAGCAATTCCGAAAACTAAACCGTGATAGGCTGCGAATATGCAACGTTATTTGCAATATTCAAATGTCTTTAGAAATTCAGTTCTCAATATTTGGTAAAAATACGGTCCCTCCTTATACATATCAACAAAATTTTACTAGATTATCTGAGTAACTTGTTTCTGATCGAGGCGTTCGCCATAAGCTCATAATCGAACAATTTTAGAAGTTAAATCATAGTTTTGAACAGTTTTGGAATACACCCGAAGCAAAATTATATCTCTCAGGTAAAAATATTTTATTCGTCAGTGAAAATAATTTTCTTTGGTTTAGACAATTTTATCAGCTTTTCTCGAGCTTCACGTTCTAATTTCTTAGCAATCCATGAAGGGTGTAACTTCTGATATTCTGATGTCAGCTCCACATTTTCAACAAGTTCTGCAACATATATTTCATTAAAAAAACGAGGTTGAGATGATAATATGTCAAAAGCAATTTAGGATGAAAAATTCATGAAGTAAAAATGCAGTTTCAATTCTTAGTCTTCCAAAGTGAATTCTTAACAGGAACTTTAATTTTTAGCTTTATAAATGAAAGCCTAGAATAACCTTTTGATTTTGTGCTACTTGTTTGCTTGCTAACATCACTTTGTTTTTCGCTCAACTGACATACGAAAAAATCACTTTCTTGAATACGTTCAGATTTGAGGAGTGATATATTGTCATCTACTTGAACTGTACTCCTTTCCTCTTGAACTTCATCTAAAAAATGATAATTAAATAATTTTATCAAAAACATCAATAATTCCGAGGGAAAATATAAAATGATATTCGATGGCTTTGGAAGGATAACGAATACAAAAACAAACTTCCATATTTAGTGATAATTGATGAAGGCTGCTCCTCCTCGTTGCCATCTAAACGCAGCACTTTGATAACCGTCTATAAAAAATAAAATAAAATTTTGTCTAAGCAACTGTTTAGAACTACCTCAGTACTGAGAGACTAGCGAATAATTTTCACAACTGGACCTAACATTATATATGAAATAAAAAGTAATGCAACTCTCATTGCATTGCCATTACCGAGAAAACCACAAAGTTGCAATCACTTTTTTAAAATCAACTCAGAAAACTTATTCTATTTGGTCTAATTAAAGTTGACAGAAGAAAGAAAAAAATTATTGTATCAAATATTCAAATACAGTAAAAGCATATTAAAAAAATACAGTCAGCTGAAATGGTAATCAGTACAAATGTCAAAATACAGTCAGCTGAAACGGTAATCAGTACAAATGTCACCTCTCCCTTCGTAATAAGTGATGCCGGCAATGCTAGTTGAGGAAGAGTAATAACTGGTTCAACTTCATTACTGCTTGTTAATGTGGATTTATTCTCCTTTTTTAATTTATTCATATTCTTTTTAAGACTTCGTTTGTTCTTTGCAGCTTTTTGTATTTCGTTTCGCACAATTGACTTTATTTCCTGACTATTTTCAGGCTGCGAAAAAGATAAATTATTTGAAAAAGTTAAAAAATCACAAGTATGAAAACATTCCAAACTATCATGAATTAAATAAAAAAGTAAAACTTCAGAGCAGCCAAACAATATTAATTCAAACAACTGCAAATCAGAAACAGCTACTTTACCTCAATCACTTTATTTGCTTGCTTCAATTGTTTCTTTATTTTTTTGGCTTCCCTCTGAGCTCTATACTGCAAACCAAGTCGCTGTAACATGAACGGTACTTCATATTGCCAATTAGGATACTTCATGCGAAATTCTTCTACACTACTTACAACTGGTTTTTCACATGCTAGTTTATAGAGAATACGTTCGTCAACTGATAACTTAATCTGAAAATAGCATATTGATCACATATTTTATTGCAATAGTTTTCAAATATGAAAGTTCCGCCCAATTTTTTGATTAGAAATCATTGAATTTCAAGATTTAAAATAACCATTGCTTTCGCGTAATCATTTACTTTTCAAAAATCTTTGGTCCAGAAATTTTCTTCGTGCTATGGAATTTCATACTTCATTACACATCTGACAGGCAAGGTGAACAGCATTCAGCTACGTAATGCAATAAGTTTATTTTACATGTTTGAAACTTAGCACTAAAAAACCTTTTCTAGCAATTTTCTCAGCGGTTTGCAATTCACCAATGCAAACTTTGATATATCATCTCTACGTATTCTCTGAAAAAACTTAATAATATAATTAAATATGAAGGAATGAGTATTTCTCTTAGAATGCAGCTAAAAGCGATAGCGGATGAGTACCTTGCAGGAATTGATTTCTTCGACGAGCCGGTCTTTTTTACGAATTTTCTTTTCAATCTTGGACTTCTGGAATAACTTCATCTGTCGAATCAACCGTCGAGACAACCGAACACGAGCCTTTTCCACTGGTTTTCGCATAGAAACTATCTAGAACCAAGAAAAATTAATATTTGCAGTACAAATCAAAAATTTTTGGCAGGCAAAACAAATTTTTTTTGTATAAAATGTACAATTGTCAGCTAAAGTAAATATAAATATCTAGTCATGAAACTACAATGCAATATAGCACTTACTTGCTCGTTAAGTTTCATTGCTGTTAAAGTACTCATCTTGACTTCTAAAAGACACTTTAAAACAATAATAAATAATATCACAAATTGCTTGTAATCCTTAAGAAAGTTTTTTGAAAAAATTAAAGACTTTTTACGCTTGTTAAACGCAGCATTTATGCAGCATCAAACTTTTGTAAGAGCAAACTTTTTCCTACAAAAAAACAAATTCATGTCTAATATGAAAGGATAGAAAAAATATTTTTATTATGAAGAAACAATTCTCGAAGAACAGAAGGAATGCTTCATATCGACTGAATAATACCTGATTTTCATAAATGATCCGATAACAATAAGAATTATTATTCAAAAGCAGCAAGCAACTAATGACAATGTTATTTATATTTATAAAAAACAAGCAGTTTTCAAAACAGTAAAATGAAACCCGTATATAACTCTGTTTTGGAGCTAGAAGCTCGAAACAAACACGACTAATAAGAAGTCATAGAATGTGAAATAAATTAAAGTTTTGCACATTCGGTTAAAACAAAAGCTATAATGACCAGAACCAAACTATCGTATTCAGTATTCAGGGAGTAGTGCATTAGCATCCGATAATTTTACGCCTTCTATAGGAAATTCTTTATTAAAAGGATTTGGTGGTGGTATAGCGCTTGGTAGCAATGCGAGTTGTTCCAAAGTACGACCCTGATTAGAATGTTCATATGCAAAAATACCTGGATGCCTGAAAAGTCAAAGTCAAAATATTGGACACACACAGCCATAAGCAAAAAATCATTATGCCAGGCTTTTATCGAAATCAAAAGTTGTGTTAATAGGGATTGTTTTTTTAATAGCAACGAAGGAACTTCAATGATTTTGTTGAAAAGGGGTAAATGAAACATTAGAGCAGCAAAATCATCACAGCATGCACCGAAAAGAAATATACCCATTGGTTCTAAACTATATCAAGTATTATTAAAAATTTTTGAACCAGCCTTCGGCAGTGCTCTTCATATACATAGCAGATATCAGCAAACTCCTCCACTCCCAGACATATAGCAGTAGTTGTAGGATCAATACGACAGCGTGCCAGCAAATCATCAGCCATAGATTTAGCTAGTTCTTTAGGGTATAAACTCCGTATACCTTTAATTACATATTTCTGTCGATAATTAAAAACACGTCTGCAAACTTTTTCTACCACCTGGAAAATAAAACATATTGAAAATACATATGAAACTGAAATAAACTGAAAGTTATGTGTACCAACTCTTATTCCGTGACAAGGAAAACAGATTTGTCAAAAAAAAAAAGTACTTTCTCCATAATATCTATGAAGTACAGATATTTCACTCCACTGCATCATACAAGTGGTTTACTACAATTTCGTGTACACAAACCTTATAAAGTTAATATAAGTGTCCAGAATATTAAGAAATAATTGACGAAAAAAGCAGTATAATTTTTATGAAAAGAGCGATACTTCAAAAGATGTTTTAATCAGTGGATCCTGTCTGGGAACAAATCGTACCACACCTACATCAACCTTAGGCGGCGGAACAAAACATCGTCCTACAAACCGAAAAGAAATCACTCAGTGAATTCAATCCCAACAACAGAACTAAAAAATTTTTCTATCAAGTATCCGTCACATGTCTTCTAATACCTGGTATTCGGAAAAGCAATTTGGGTTCAGTTACAAAGGTAGACATAATAGAAATCCTTGCTCGACTTGGAGAAGCGATTGTTGCACAAAGTCTTTCTGCTACTTCCATCTGAAAAGTTAACAAGAGTGGAACACGACCAAATGACCATGGTCCTCGACGATAGAGCATTTCTCGAAGAAATCTGCAAAACTAAGACCTGCATTGCCAAAAAGCATTATTCGGTACTTTTAAATTCATAACCTCTCGTAACTGCAACTTTACACAATTGACGGCACTTCTACGCCTCAATGAGAGAAACTGGAGAAAACCAAACAAAGAAAATAATATAATTAAGTCGTCACAAACGCACTTTATTATCAGTGGAGAAGCTATATTAAAGGGTAAATTGCCAATGATATGTAGTTTTGGCAACTCATCCTCTTCCCAAGCAACACATTCAACCTTATTTTGTGACCATATTTGTCCAATATCCATTTTCAAAGCATCAGCTCGATGAATGAACATACGTCCTTCGCTTGCTTCTTGCAAAACCTGAAAGTATTAGATAACAACCTGTACAATAAAATCCTGAAATAAAATATTCATCTTTTACAGTTAGTTTACTACTATAATGTATTTTAAGGTTAATTTAACCAGAAGTAAACGAAATGTAAAAAACAGCATCTTAAGCATTAGCTCTTAAACAATTTCCAGCTCCATCACTGGCACAATGCATTCAGCACTTTAAATGATCGATCATATTAATGATTTTTGCATAACTACACATCTTAACCTCAAGTGGCGGAATGAAACGATGATCAATTTCTATCACATCCAATCGTTTGCAGTCAGTTTCCAGAATAGCACGAGTGATTGATCCTGGACCTGGTCCAATCTCTACTATATAATCGTTCTCTTTCACGTTTGATTGTCTTACTATCTACAGAACATGAGGCAAAAATTTAAGCAAATTTGCTCATTCATACTATCATCACCCACTTTAATCCAAAAACACATTCAAAACTATGATTAATCTATACTTCATCAGAGTCTGACTCAAGTCCGGCCAATTAATTTAGCATAATGAAACAGACAGACGGCCGTATTCAAACACATCATTTTCGAACTTGACGAACTGCTTCAGTTCTTCTTAGTCAGACTTTTCACATAATTTTCAAATCTAGCCGCTAACTTTTCGTGTTAAATTCATATCCATCAAGTAATTTTGCGAGAGGATCTTTTTCGCTTTCAACTGATACGTATATAAGAAATTTTTCAACGACGGTAAAGGTGGCAGACGTGAGAAGTTGGTTGCCATGACAAGATCCTCAATAAAATATTGAATCGCCAGATGCAAATCCAAGATGCTATAAAGGACAACTTTGTACAAATTAGTGCTGTTTTCTACATCAATTTCTGCAAGAAAAGAATTATACCATGAAATTGAGTATTCTTAATCTTCCTATGTTAAAATCAAATTAAGCTGCTGAATGTTAAGACAGTCATCTAGACATCAGAAAGAAAACATAAGAAAAAACAAGTCTGTAGTACCGAATAGGAACACTATTTAAGCTCCTCACTTTCATTGTTTTACACTTGATTTCTATGAAGTAAATCAAACCCACTCCTAGTTCGGTATTACAGATTTGTGGAAACAACCACGATCCAAAACCTGTATTTTCTAAATATATCTCAAAATGAGTTAAGAGGCAAAATAAAATCTTTGTTCAGCAGATTATAATCTATATTTGACTTGGTAAACCTCACAAAAACAGAAATGAGCTCTCCTTGCCGTAACATTAAACAGACAAAAAGCAGATGACCAATTACCTCTATTTATTCCAAGTTTTCAATTTATACTTTGATACTATCAATAGCGCTTATAATATATGCAAGATCCAACAAGGGTGCACGAAACTGAAGCTGAATTACACGCTTGAAACATTAAATAGATGAATGAAGAAAAACTAATTTGTAACCATTACTTCTTAAAGTACGAAAAGTAAAATTCTCAATAACAAATGATCACTACTAAATCCCGAAAAAGATGCGATTATTGACGTACCAAAGATAAACTGCAAGGTCGTAGACTATGATGTCGTAACTAATTAATATGCATGAAAAAGTGATTCGAAAATCCACTAAAGAACAGTAGTTCCAAAATAGTTCTATTTCCAACTAACAAACTTTGCTATGCGTTGAAGTTATTTTGACTTTTTTAATTTCTATGAAAGAACAGACTAATCAACAAAGACTGCAAATCATCTCTTGTATTAACTTAATTCAATTTACAAATTTGTTTCACAGCGTATCAAAGTCAATTCAGGCAATTAGATTAATATAAGAAGAAATTACAAAGAACTTTTTTAAGAATTAATGAAAATGTTGGAAAGTTTTACGCAAACCTTGTTTTCTTAAAAATGTACCCAGTAATATGATTAACTACAAATTTTTACTTAAATGATGAACACAGAAAAAGAATATATACTAGTTAAATCATTACTAGCTACAAGAAAAAACTAGATGAAATGAATGAAGAACATACGAAACGAACAAACATCGTACTGCAAGAAATAGGAGCTTAGAAGAACATTTGTATTTATTTATTTATTTATTCGTATAAGAACATAATTTTTTCCATTCAAAATTAAATAATTACTTTCATTAAAAATTTAATATAAAAACTCGTTGGTCGATAATCATGACACTGCAGCTTCGTTATCCGAAAGCTTGATCTAACACATTGATAGAGAAAATATAGAAATAATATCGTAGCTCTAAGTGCTAGTATAATATTAAAGGTATGACTAGACAGCATAACAAGTTACCGTATCAATATCGCGAAAAAATATATAACAATTCATTAAAATTCTAATCATGTTTAAAAAACTTATTAAAAAATTAGAGGTTTTTGAAGTTATTTTCAAGACCGGATAATGAACAAAACTGCATTCTCAAATATAAGTGATAATCAATGTGAAATATAACAACTACATTTATTTACAAAAACACTAGCATTACGCTTACTAAATATCTAAAACATGTCCTATATGTTTTTGAACAACCATGAATGACCTTAAAAATTGAATGTTTCTACAGGCTTAAAAGAACGCTGATATCAAGAACAATTAAACAAATCAAACCTAATGCTTACTAAAGAGAAGTCAAATGATAACCGAGAATTATTTCTTCTTCGCATTCATAACAATGTCCAGTTCGTTTTCAATGATTTTTAAGAATTCATTATATGCTCGCTCGAGATTATCGTTTACTATTACAAAATCGAATAATTCCGGATTGGCACTAACTAGAACAGTTCGAATCATATTGCTTCTTAATTCAGTGATTCAATTAATTAATTTATGATCAACAGCATTGAAAATTTTGAACGTAACTCTGGATAATAGAAAAAATGATATTAAAAAATTACCAGCATCCAGATCTTCCTTTGCATGATTTAGCCGTTTTGTCAGAGATTCTTCGGTCTCAGTTTTTCGAGAACGTAAGCGTTGTTCCTATAAATGTCAATATGACTCATGAAAAAAGTCCGTCTTCATTGAAAATTTAATCGTAAAGGAGCATTTTAATTTCCAATTTCTGTGTACAGTTATGAGGGAATAATAATATCATTAAGCTTGAATCTCATAACGAGAACACACTAAGCTAAGTACAGATCTAGCAAAAATTTTTTAGCAATGGTGCACTGCAGAAAAATTTTTTAGCTGCTTAGTATACAATTGAAAAAGAAAAATTTCTAAATGACAATTGATAAAAGTCATCTTCTCTATTATGATCGACTACACATTAAAAATTCCAAATAATAATACCAGTATTTCTAGAGTTGGCGTTTTGATAAGAATGTATTTGGCATCTAGTTTACAACCATGTATGCTTTTAACTCCTTGCAACTCTACATCTACAATACAAATACGTTCAGTCTTTAATACATCATCCAATGCCTTTTTTCTGAAAAAAAAAACGGTAAATTAAAATGTAGATTAAATAAGGGCAGAAACTTAGTGTCATCATAAATGAAAAAACTATAGAGGTATTTGAATCATGTAATTTCTATTCATTTAAACTGTTGACTGCCTCAATAAAAACTTTTCTATGAAAGATTGAATTACATACGATGTGCCATACATACTGCCTCCAAACGTAGCATACTCCAGAAATTCACCGTCATTGATCATTTTTTTAAACTTTTCTTCAGTCACAAACCAATAATTTATACCATCTACTTCTTCTGGTCGTGGTTTTCGTGTTGTATCTACAAAAAAATTTCAATATTTTCAACAACAGTTTAAGAAATGAAATAAACACTTTCCTTATCTTTTAGAGAACTTCATTCATGCCTTGAATATCACTAACAGTTCTCGAATTGATAACAATTATAAGATTACTAACGTGAAATACTGAATGCAAAAGCATCTGGATAGGCTTCCATAGCTTTTGTGATTATTGTACTTTTTCCTCCTCCCGACGGGCCAGATATAATAAGGGGCTTCATTTTTTCCTGCAATCGAACAGCATTTCAAAACTAAATACTGGGTTACTTGATTTATATCCTGACATTCTAAATTATGAAGATGCGGCATACATTATGTCTATAACACTGAATTATCGTAAATATGCAGTTTTTCCAGCATTTCAAACTACTATAAACGTACTCTGGGAGAGACAGACTATTAAAAATTACTCTTGTTTTCGCAATATTAAAAAATTCCAATATTACTGAGGATAAGAGTGACTTTCAAACAAGAATTTATCAAGTCAAAAAGTCATTATTTCCAAAACAAACAAAACTAATCTTTTATATTAGCAGAAATAGTCTAAAAGCTTGCTTGGCTAACTTTTAATGTAAACATAATTAAGCTAATGGACGTGAATAGCGAAAATTAATAAAGCAGATGAGATAAGATGTGAGATTTTTAATAAGAGCAAACTTTTTGAGACATATACTTCATGCCTGACAATTTATCTGTTCATCAGTTAAAAGCAATAAAAAAATTATAAAGGTGACTTGACATAAGAGAAAGAACTTCATCAAAGCACTAACCCTGCTAACATCCTGGCAGATATACAAATCAGCATGATAAATGTCTCATTTTGCCAATTTGTAAAACTCAAAAATTATTGCTTGCAATTTGATATCGCTGAAACAGTAAGTGACATTACTGGATAAAGTTGCACTCATACCTGTAAAAAGAGCGTGCATTTAGTTTCGTCACGAGAGATATCAAAACACGATTTAACTGTACACTAAATTGATAGATTAATAGACAGATTAATGACATGTTAACATAATGTAATGTTAACAATTAAAGGCTCAAAAAAAGTTAGGCAGACTGTGCACAATACTGATTAATGCATGTAATTAACACTTAAGGAATAGAAAAGTTAAAAAGAATTAAAGATTTCGCTCAGCAAAACACTCAGCGGGAACAATTTGAAACGTATTTGAAACGTGTAATGAAAATTAAGAAAGACAAAAAACGAGTCTTTGGCAGGAAAGTTTACATGCAAAAGAGGGTTAAAGGTCAATGTAATTAATAAAATGAAAAGTGAAGAGGCCTTCAAAAAGTGAAAAGCGTACATTACAATATGACACAAAAGAAACCAGATGCAAATAATACCGAAACAGACAAAAAATTAACTTCAATTTCGTATCCAAATCAGTTTTCAGGACAGAACAGAATCTAGTTTTCGGTATAGAAAACGGAAAATATAGAACAGCTAAAAATTTTTATGTATTCAGCATTATAGTTGACAGATAATGCATTTTATTCACTTAGAGACTTATTTTATGTTTTGCAAAGAATATACTTACGTTAATTAAGAAGCGGTAAATGAAAAGTTTTGATTATGTAATCAGTTAGGCCCAAATGAAATAAATAAATTATGGACCATAACAAGGGCTAAACCATTCAGAAATTTGGTATGATCACAGCAATAAAATATTCATAAAATATTCATATGCTTTATTAGTAAACATACAGTTGCTAATATTGCAGTGATTGATAACGATAGGTAAGATAAGATCGAGTTAACAATGAAAGATTAACGTGGTAGGAATACTGCATGTACTCTCCTGAGAAGAAAAGATATACTCCATTGGTTTGTCTTACTAAGCTCAAAAAATAAACAGGTTTAATCATTATTTGCGATTGCGTCAAGTAATTGTAATGTAACTTAGCATCATACTGTCGAATCTATGATTTGACCTTAAAAATAGAATCAATTTTTTGGATCAGAAGAATGGGACGAGAAATGTTTTCGTAAAATTTTTTGGAAAGAAAGAAGTTGTGAACATAATTTTTTTTTTCTTTCAAATGTGATGATTTTCTGAACTTTCATTTTTTTTGAGTTATTTCGGAAGTATTAATGAATGATTGAGCGATGCAAGAAAGATAAGATAGATGGATGGTTAGATGGCTGGATAAATGAATGGATCGTTTGGAAGTTATAGAAGACATGACTTGTACCTGTTTGCAATACTGTACGTGGTATAAACAGTCGCGCACGCAGACAAAAGCGCAAACGACAAAGGAAGGGCGGAGAAGTGTTGAAAAACGCTGCGATAACCTCCACTCGCGCACGTGTATCAGAGGGGCGTTTCGCCTCGCTCGTTTTCCATCAAGTCACACTTCGTTTTTCTCTTCATTTCATTCCATCCCGTTGTTCCATTCCGTACATTATTTGCTTCTTCATTTTAGTCATTTTTCATATTCATCACTATTAGTGATGAATATGAACCATATCATTTTTCGGTTATCAGCTTGAGCCACTCTATTTCGTTTTAACTTTTCTGACTATCTTTTCGTTTTTATTTTGTCGGCCTGCAATTTCATCTATTGAAACCTCTCTCCTTGCTTAGTAGATGAACTTCTCTCTCGGCACTTTGCTACAAAATTCGTGCGTCTAAATCAAATCACTCTGAAAAGTTAATAGAATTAAATTTTGAAATATCAAAAGTATAACCAAAAAAACTAAGTTTTTCATCATTGTTCATTGATAATGTTATTTTAATTGCGATTAATTTAAGTTCCAAAAATTTGATACCTGTCATACTGAATTAGTGTTCTGACCAGTTATCAAAACAGTAGCCTCATGAAATTACTATATTTCACGTAGAAGTTCAAATTTATTCATAAATTTTCGCACTGCTGACATCTGAAAGAATTAAAGTTTTCAGTGTTGATCGAATAATCTTACATCATTGAATCAGGAATGTACTCGAAAATTATGCAAAGATATTGTTTGGCAGTTTTATTTTTGTTAACATTATCTGGAATCACTTGTGCTGTTCATGAGGAAAATAAAAGGCTAGTTCACAACTTTGCTCATAGCTACAAATTAAATGAACACAACTAGTTATGCGACTTAGCTTTAAGGCTAGCAAAAATTTTTAGCTGCCATTTACAATCAAAATCACAATACGTGTACTCCAACGCCAAACATTTCAAATTTAAGCGAACAAAATTTTTCAAAACAAATTGATGAAACAGTACGAGGACTTTCTGCTTCTCTCATAATACTTTCAAATTGTGATCGTTAAACTGAAAAAAATTCAGGGCATATTTTGCAGAACTTATTCAATCCTTCAAGCAATCCCCAAAAATAATAGTCAAGTGCAAATTCTATCGCAACTTTATCTCAATGACGACGAAATGGTATGATTTAGTCGCCTGACAAATCAATCAAATTGGAAATTAGTTATTCAAATGTACGCACAAAAAATGTGAAAAGTCAAAACTTCTAAATTTTCACAGATATCTTAAAGCTAAAAAATGTATAATCAGTAACTTAACTCTCGACTTTTTAAAAAACTGCTTTGAACCATTTATAATATTTATTCATCGTAAAATCTAAAATTTATAGGTGTCAAGAAACCGGTCATCAATTTCAGGTAGATTTCTGGAAACCACCGTCACTTGTCAACGAAACTGTAGATTTTATGGTAAATTCGAAGTTCAGAGATAAATTGCACCAATTTCTAGACGAACATTCAATTGATTACAACATAATTATTGATGACGTTCATCAGTGAGTATTCGAAGAGTAACTGTTGTAAAACTCTCATGCAGTTAAACAATTTGATTTTCTTGCAGTTAAAAAAATTTCCAGTTAAAAAATTTGATTTTGGTTTGTATTTTCAAATGTTCGCAAATCGGAACGTTGCCAAAGTTTGCTAGCAATTTTCGTAAACGTTAAAAGCTACTTACAATTAATATATGGCATGGTTTTCTAATCTTTTCATACAGCTAAATTACTTTTGTAATTTTGCGTTAATTTTTAACAGTTCATCTGTCTAGTATTCTATAAGTGCTTATGTCTGAAAATGTTATCTAAAAAATGAAAAATTATGAAGATTCTATGCCATCGCATTAAGCTATTTGCAACAAATCGATGAACTTACACCGAGACAGGCAATATTGTTTGGAAATCAACGAAGATTTCAAGATGAGAGTTCAAGTAAGTTAGATTTGGTGATGGGCGAATATCATTCTTATGATGCAATCGTCTGGTGGTTGAAAAGCTTAGAGGAACGATTTCCTGAGATTGTGGAGGTCATTTCTATTGGAATTACGGCAGAAGGGAGAAATATTTTTGGAGCTAAGGTATGAGTTGGAATTGATTGAATATGCAAATGTCTTTAATTGCTATGGTAGCAGTTGCAAAGTTAATTGGTTATACAGTAAGAAGGCCAGTATGCCAGGTAATTAATGAGCTTCAGTAAACAATTTGAGAATATATCATTGCAATCATAGTTCCATAAGAAAAAAGAAATTTCTAAATGCACTCAGCCTAATAATTTAATCATTATCAAATTTGGGCTTAGAATTTTATCACTTTATATGCTCCCTAACAGTAGCCCACCATTCGACATATATTCATATTTTTGGAAAATGTATAACTTATATGAAAGTAAAAAAAGTTATTGATATACCGTATGAATTGTATAAAGAGAAACAATAAAAAGAATAACAGCCGTTAGATGATAAAAATATAAAACTTCAAGAAATGATAATGATAATGATAATCATTCATAATATAGTATTATTATCTCACTGTTAGTTCCTTTTTTAATGAAATGATATTATCACTGACTAATAACAATGATTATATCATTAATGATAACATAATGATGGATTCAGCTTGGTACGAAGAATGTTAATAAAACAGGAGTTATTTGGATCGATGCTGGAATTCATGCCCGAGAATGGGCATCTGTTCACACTGCTCTATATTTCATCAAAAAAGTATGATTTTTTGGATAAAAACTTATTGACAATTAAAAGCCAAACATATTTGAATTCTTTCAGTAAAACAAAAATGGATGCAGCAATTTGTTAAAATGAGTATAGCGATTTGAAAATATTGCAGAGTTAATTTTTATTCAGCCATTGATGTAAATCTAATATAAACAGAATAAACATTTTGAAAATTACCTCAAATGTCTTTTCTTTAAGACAAAACAGAAATCAATTAAATAAAACCAACACTGTAAAGTCTATAAATACATATTCATAAATTAATTACATGTTCGTAATAAATATAATGATAGTGATAATAATAGTAATAATAATAATAATAAATTAAGAAATTAATAAATGATAAAGAAATCAAAAAATAAATTATGCATAGAATGATAGATTGCACCGATGATCCATAGTGTGAATAAAAAGTTTCAAAAAGAATTTCTCCAGCTGGTCACCGATTATTTTATTGATCCAAAAACAACCGAATACTTTGAATTATTGGACATTTATATATATCCATGTTTGAATCCTGATGGTTACGAATACACGCGATCAGCACCCAACGATCCTTCTGTAAATTTCCATTTTTTAATAAAATAGAAATGCATAAGTAAAAAGTAACTATAATTTTGCATCAGATAGCCTTATATTATAAATCCAAACTATGTAAATATAGTTGGGATTGAATAGAAGTTCCATATTCATAAATGATGCAGTGTAATGTTACAACAACTCATTATTTTTGAGTTAATAAATTTGACAAATATTGGTAAATTTCTCTAGATGGATGCAAGTTTGAATTTCCTTGATAATTTTTTTGGAATTATTTAGTTTTCGACAAATATAAATAATAAAAAATTTTCTTCCAATAAAAATGCCGTCTATTCAGCAAAAATGTGAATTGTCGTGAAAATTGAAGTGCTTATGCTATGCGTAAAGCAGTCGTCGGTCGAATACACAAATTGATAGTAAAAATTAGTAGGTGAATTCTAGTTTTGGAAGTTATTTGAAGGTTCGATTGTGGCGTAAAAACAGAGGGTTGGGAGAGCAATGCGAGCGCAGAGATGGTAAGGAACGGTGCTGCCGAGGAGTCGATTTGAATCGAAATTTTGCGTTTTATTTCGCAGGTAAGAAAAGTCTCTGCGAAGTAAAGACTATTTGCGTGGAAACAAGTTGGAGCACAAGTTGTAGCTTGTTGGGAATGCATTAAACAGGAAATCAACTCCTCCATCCTAAGCAAATAATATTATACTGATATTTTCAAATTATATTAATAGTAGTGCTGAAATTCCTCGCATAATATAATCAAACATTTTTTATAATTATTTTTCACTTAATTTTTGAATTTCCGGTAATAAATCAAAATTATTCATACAAAATAGAGACATCATTGATAACTGAATAAGTTAGTATCCAATTCGAAGAAAAATAATCAGCATGCAAATGACAGCCACAGAAAAGTTGAACAGCAAAAGATAATTGAGTAAATATGCTTTATTAGCAAATAATATGTTTACATTTTGCTAGTTATTGCAATGTTTTTGAGACAGAAAGTGAATTCTGGATAAGATTCAAAAATTTGATCAGTTTGGGCAGTGTTCCAATTTCCAAGCTTTCAAAATTTCTGGACTTTTTGCAAATAGAATGCAATGCGTTTAATTTTAATTTCGTATACCAAAATGTGAAATTCATTTATTTTTATCAACATTAGTATTGAGTTTTTTAAATGTTAGTTTGTTTCTGATTTTTGTTAGATTCACAGTTACTTTAAAAAACAGCACAAAAATTTTATGATTTTGGAATATTTCTTTCGAATTTGAAAATAATTACTAGATAAAATACTCATCAAATCTAATTAAAATTTTGTAAGTACAGGTCTATTTTTGTCTTAATTTTCATATTCAAATAAGAGTTAACGAAATAATGCTATTATTTTCTGCTTCATAGCAATTTTCAGTGGTCTTTGGAAGCAAAATCCCTTCCTACCATTATGCAAACGTAAAAGTAATATTTTTAATAGAGAGAGGCACATATTTATATTTACGATTATGTTTAATAAAATCATAATAAAAGTAATTTCAAGCTTCTGCTATAAAATAGTTTGATACATATTATTGCTAGTAACTTGTAAAAGTATCGTGTCATCAAAATTTGAAACGATCTTTGTAGCGCAGTATAAACAAAATTTAGCCTGTAGAAGTGGGCTGTAACAAATTTAAATCTTCACAAAAATTCACTGCCAAAGAATTTGATACTATTTTTGTATGAAAATTGCAGAAGATCTGCTCTTCCATTTGTTATTGACAGATTTATCATTCTTAATGCAACCGCTACGTCAGTTTGTTGTCTTAATTTTTGTTTATTTTTCTTCAGATTAAACCTACTGAAAAGTTTCTGTTAGTCATCTTTGGTTACAAAGAAGATTAGCAGTTTTCATTCTAAAGACAATGCAGAAGTCATTTCTCAGTCTTTGCACACAAATTAGTACCTAGGATTCGCGAAGATATCATTTCTGTAGAATAAAAATCCTTTCAATTAAAGTTTGTTCTGCTGGAAATTTGTCGATAAAAAATGAAAATTATTGCCTATTAAAAATTTCAGAAACTTCTTACGTCTTCTGAAATGGTATTGAGTAGCTGTGCATTTATTTTTCAATCATTCTCTTCTCCTTTCCGGCTTCAAATGATCGGTTTAAATTTTACATGAGCATAAAATCGAAATAATAATAATAAGAAGAAGAAGAATAACGGTTTTTTATAAATGTGAAACTTCCAATGATTACAAACTCTATATTAATTTTACGAGTTCAATACACACAAGCATTATTAAATGTACGATATAATCTTTTTTAAACATAATAAAAACTATATGTCTCATTTTTATATCTAAATTTAATCTAAATTTAATTATTGTCTAAATTTAATTATTGTCATTATTGATGTTAAGAAAAATTTGGCTTGCTTATGCAAAATTTGCTTTCGAATAGTATCAACGCATCAGAATATTAGTGCAATGTATTCTAATTAATGTAGCGTAATAATTTGATTATTTATGTTTTATTTAAAGTCTCACAGTGCTATTTCAAACGTTTTCTAGTAATGAATGTCACATTTTCAATTCCAGAAACAGGTTCGAGCTATTCGCCATGCTCAGAAATTTATCACGGCAAGTATGCATTCAGTGAAAAGGAGACAAGGTTTAATTTTCTTTATCATTCCACTTTTATCTTCAAAGCTGCCTCTCAAATCACTGCAAATTAATTGTAGAAATAATTGCATCCTTAATTAATTTTTGAGGGCTGTACGTGATGCCGTATTATCCTTGCGTCATCGAATGAAATCTTATATCACGCTACATACTTATTCTCAGTTGTGGGTTTATCCATATTCTAATAAACGATTTGCATATTCAGACGATGTGGATGATTTGGTAAGTATAAACACTGAAATTAAAACTTCTATAATTGAAAATTTTTTTTAGGATGACATAAAAAGTAAGTAAATGGAAGACTGAATTTAGCAAATATATTAATTATAGAAAGCAGTGGCAAAGCAAGCAGTGGAATCTTTACGTAGACTTTATGGAACAAAATATCGATACGGTACTGGACCCGAGATTATATGTTTGTTTCTCGCTACTTTTGCATTACTCAATAAAAAGATATGAGATATTGTCAGAGGACTATGTGAATATGTGAATGATAGTAATCTGAAGTAAAAACTCTAGAATCATGCATTTGCTAATGTCTTTGCTAATGCATAATGAAGAACTTTTGGTGAAGAAAAAATGAAAAAAATTGTGAGAAAACATAAGTTATGATTCTAAGAAAATGAACGGAATTTGCATTCGACGATAAAACCAAACGAAATGCAATTTATTCATTCAATTTGCAGATGCATATTCAGGGGGATCAGCTGACTGGGCTAAGAAAACAGCTCGTGTCAAATACTCATACACAATCGAACTTCGTCCTTCATACTTTTGTACTTTACTATTAAAGTTTACTGATTATAACCTAAATTCAAACATATAATTGGCCATAATAGTGGTATAACCTAATAGATAACTTAAATATAAATTCGCTCTTTTCATGGAATGATCAAGTAATGATTAAAAAATCATGAAAGTGAAGTTTCAAATATTGCAGCTTGGAATGGTTTTGTTTTGGATAAGCGACAGTTGATACCAACTGGGAGAGAAACGTATGAAGGAGTAAAGGTTGTTATAGACAAAGTAATTGCGGAAAGTCGACATAGAGGTATGTATATTTTGATTAGCAATTTCATTTAAAGCCGGTGGAGTGAGTGAAGATATGAATTGGAAAAAATCCATGAAAAAATATATTTGACTAACATGTGAATCACTCGTTGTGATTGAAGTTCCCAATTTTGACTCAGAATAATTTTTAGTTTTTATAAGCCATTTTTTAAAATTGTTCACTGGATTTGGTTTGTGCAAGCAATACACAGTAATTCATTTGATCAGTTATTTGCCATTTATGCAAATTGCAATCTTTGTAGGATCAAAATGTAAAGATCAGTCTAAATATTGTTCACATTGGAAAATGCAAAACTTGAATATTTGTCGGATTTCGAGATTATCAATGAAAACAGAATGCGCTAAAACTTGCGATTTTTGTCAAGAGCATAATCGGTGAAAATTGTACTCAATGCATTTTAAATTACAATTTTAGGTCTCTTTATATCACTTTTAGAATGTACAAGATTAAACAAAACTAACACATCTCTCAAACATCCGTGACCTAATTTCCCACGTTGCTGATCATATAGCAAAGTAATTTGCAAATTCTAAACTAATTTTAGAATCATGTGCAAAAGTTATACACGTATTTTTCGCACTAAAAATGACTAACTTTTCATTTATTTTAAAATTTTAAATTTTTGAGATATTCGCTTTAGTTGTCTGCTGAATTCCGATTCAAAAAGCTAAAAATGTCTGCAAAATATTTTTGCCGACACATTTTGACGACGAAATAAATTTCCATTTTTATTTTTATCAAAAATCTTTTGCACTCAATGAAATTGATCCATCATTTGTGATAAATGATGATAAACTTTAAATTATTTCAACTTTTGAAATTAGAGCGAATATTGTGCTTCTTCATGAAATTTGTAGACGAAGGTTACACTTCAAATACGAATATCATATTCATCCAAAATAATGAAAAAACTTGAACATTTTATTAAATATGGGCTATGAATTGAAATATGCTAATTTCACCCATTCAGTTATTTATTCAATCATTCGTTCGATCATTCATTCATTCATTCATTCACTTCCTTTTCTTCCGCAGACTAAAATATACTATTCAGCTAACATTATCTCTTCATTTTAAAATATAAAATATGATATTTGAAGCCCGCATGAAAATTTTTTTTGCAACTGAAGTCAAACATTCAAAACTGACAGTTCAGGGAGAGACATTCACTGCGTTCATTTCTAGTTCCTCATACGTTTACCCAAAAAAGTGGAATTTACTTTGATGAAATTTTCAGGTGATAATTAGAATTTGGGGATCTGCAACAATATCAAATATTTGGTGGCACTTAATTAGTGTTTTTTCTCGTAAAGAACTGATTGTAAATTAAATCTTTATAAAATGAATACTTTTATAAATTAAATCTTTATAAAATGAATACTTTTACTAAGACGTTGTGGGAAAATAAAAATGACAACGAAAAATTAGTGATTATTCAACGAACTGAATAATTAATCAGTGAGTCACCCAAATATTTAGTTAAAATATAGAAAGCATTTTTTTTTAAATGTTCAAAAATTCTTCTGCAAACTTGAAAAGAAATTGTTGCAACACAATTTAATGAAAATTTGAAAAGTGGTTCAGGAATTAATTCTGACAAGTTCATCGCTCAATGCTCCCAGTTTTCACGCTTATGAAAACTTTACTTCAAGCAAAAGATTTTCATCGATAACAGTGCTCTGAAAAAGACTAATCTATTCATTATTTATTAACTGACTAATTAATGAAAAATTTTGTTTTATTTTATTATTTATGCATTCATCAATTATTTTCACTTAAGATTTATCTGGTCTATTTTTACTTGCAAGCCAGTTGCTCTGTATTCTCATTCAATATTTGCTTTGCTTATTTTGCATTTACTTATTAACTTTTTATAAAACAATATTAAAATAAAATTATCGTATAACGATTTGCTAGGAATGTCTGACTCTCGAAAAGAGTTCAGAAATTGTAGGAATGCTTCCTCAAACTTTGTCTTCACAGTAAAAATTCTTTGTAGTCTCATATTTTGCAAATTTACTGCTTTAACTTTTCATCACATATGTGTGCATTAAAAACTGTATTATTATATGTGCTATACATAAAATTTGAATACAAAGAAATAAATAGTTTACAAAATGACAAAAGTGCGCTGAAATTAATTTCCAATTACTTTTTGCACCTATTTGAAAATCAGTCACTTTGAATTTTGGAAGAACGGTAGGCATCATGAAAACCCCCTATTGAAATTTAATTATTTGGCCATTTTCTTGTCCAATTTTGACATTTTTTCACTTCGTGTAAATCAAATAATTTGAATGCTTTACAAAATTAACAGCTTAAAATGCACTATCATTACCAAAGTAATAATCATAACATCAATCAGTTGAGTACAAATTCTCAAGCCAATTTTTATTGGTGTGAAGGATTTTTTCGGTAACTTACAGGTTAATATGCTATTGATTTTGATCAACCATCGACTAAAATGCTTGAAATTGAGCACAGAGCATTACAGCATCTGTCACATGTGTGGCATGCCTTTAGATGACCATTACATACTCTTTAAATTAAATATGATCATAAATTCTATGATTTTTGATTCACTTTTCTTGCACAATAATTTTCATTTTTCTTTTATTAAAAGCAAAACATTTTGATTACTTTAAGGTTTTGATTTATTTCTGTTGGAATTTGGCGAATGAAAGTGTGTGGTTGGTTTGTACAGCATTGACAGCACTAATTAATGTTTACTCAATCGCAAACTGAAAACTTCCTCCTCCATTCTGTATGTTACTTCTAAGTAATTTGGCTTGTAAACAAATAATCAAGAGGTTAAGTAAGTGACCTGGCTTAATTAAGTGAGCAAGCCGGATCGCTTGTCTAATATTGAAAATATATTTCAAATTTTGCATCTAGCGTTGTCATCACAGACAGTAAGTGAATTTTGTCAGTTTTTCAAATTATCTTCCTTTAAATTCAAATTTATAATTCAGTTAATTTCCAGAAAACATGCTGAGATGAAAACGAACCTAAAAGTGTTTTTTATTGCAGATTTGATAAGTAATTAGCTCTGTCTAAGTTTTTATTTATCTCAACGTTTTCGTTAAATTTTAAAAATTAACTCAAAAAATTATTCAAATTCTAACAAAGGAATGTAGTTTACTGAAAGAAAAAAAAGAACTCAGTAAATTACTAGAATCTTCTTGAATTATTTATTTAATCAAAAGTAATCAACAGAAAATAAAAATGGATGATCAACAGTTTCTTTGATTCTTGCATAGAATTTATCAGTTGTACTGAAAAGCATCTATCTTGAAAACAAAATTGTTTCTTTTACCATAATCCATAATCTCTTCACGACTATCTACTCTTTGCTCCACTCTCTTTACTGCAACTTTTTTATCTTATTATTTTAATATTCATTTTTTATTAAGCAAACTTTCAATATTCTTTAAGTTTGCAGAATTGAGTAACGTGCGTGGCCAGAAACGATCATAGCTTTTTATTTGTGAATTTGCTGCAAATCTTTGGTGATATTTTTAGGAAAACAAAATAATAAAGGAAATAAAAATAATACTGATGTAATGTGGCAGGTTTCAATTGAAGTGAAAAGAATTCACACATCTGTATATAAATAGCATTCTGCATAAATCCGAAATATTTTTAAACGAAAATTATTGTTTATTGAGAAGGTGTGAAAGAAATGAGTTGGAATACTGGTTTTAATTACAAATATTTCCTAACTAAACTGAAAATGTCTAGATCATTTCATATTTGACCAAGCAATGAATAAAATGTGCAATAAAGAATCAAATACTTGAAATTGTGCTAGAAGTTTTGTGAAGTAACTTTGTTATCTCATTTTTGAGGCCAGAAAAAGTAATTAATTTTGTATTTTCATGCTGAAATTGGATTGTTTTTTTAATGATATGTATGGCACGTACTTCAGTGTAAGTAAAAAAACGAATTACAGTTATCTACTTCCAGATCTATTTTTTCATTTTAGATCTCTCTTCAAAGGTCATTTCAGTCAACTTCAACAATTATTCCGCTGCATTCATTACCATACCTCAATCATTTTGAGTTTGCACGACTAAGAGCTTACTGAAAAACAAGAAATCATTTATTTCGAATCATATTAGTTCAAGAATTTGACCTTCAAATCAATCACTCGCAATAATAAAATGTTTTCTTCGAGTAAAATTACTTTGCAGCAATAACTGGAGCATTTACTCAATCATTCCATTTTCACAATATTTTGCTTTACTTATTATTCCGTCACACGTTTATTCACAACATTTTTTTATGAAAAAGATGCGTACATGTCTAACTCATTTTCTAATATTTTGAGTTTGGGCCTTAAATCGTTTTTGCAGAAGGATTGCATGCACTGAGCTTGGAGTTAAATTGTCTTGAATTTCTATGATAACTGTATATGATTCATGATTTGTTGTTTATAGCATGCAGGCATGTTGCAATCTGATGCTTTCTCGGAATTGTTTTAAAATGCTTCAAAACAGTCGGAAATGTTAAAAAATGCGTGAAGGTAATCAAATATTATGTGTGAGCAAAAAAGAATAATGAGATGGAACAATTTTTTGATGAATTTTTCAATACCATTTTACCTCCCAAGAAAATATTTCAATCTGCATATTAAATTTATTTCTATCTTCTACCAGTTTGTAGCTATTCTGAAAAACTTAACGCTCATCAATATTAAAAATAATTGAAAAATTATCGAAATCCGTAATATGTTGACTTTCATAAAAACTACTTTTGGTGCAAAAAAGTAAAATTGATAGTTTTATTAAAAGGAAATCATGAATGATTGTTATAAATATATAAAGCAAATGAAATTATTGAATTTCTAACATTCAGAAATTGGCAAACTAGAATTGGAATTTGAGCTGAACTCATTTGCAAAAATTATTTGCATCAGTCTAACAATGAATCTCTTCTATACTTTTTGCTACTTGCAACTCTTAAAAAATTTTCTGCTTTCATTGAAGGGAGTTATTGTTCGAAAAATAACTCTGCACATCTTAATTCAGATTTATCATTATTTTATTTGAGTATTATTATCAGAGATTTAAGCATATCACGAAATAACATGACAAATTTGTTAATATTGAGTGTTATGAGGTGAATAAATTGTTACAAAAATTCATTTAAATTCTTAAAAACATAAGCTAATTTGTATATTTATTAATGCATAATATAAGCTTTTAATAATAACTTTGCACTGTTCAGAAGGACAAAATGTGAACTCAAAATTCTAATTAGTAACAGAAATGATTGAAAACTCTCCATTCATTTGCATAATTACATTGTCAAACCTAACTTTTTTGGTTTTGACAAAGTATATGTAATCAGTTTTTTTGATGTCAAGTATTCTTCGAACTGAACAATTAACTGAATTTATTAAAATTTTTCCTGCAATAAAATTTTTTATTTCCTTATTTGCTGCGGCTTGAAAAGTCTATTTTTGCATTCTCGAAACCATTACTTTCTCCTTCTTACATTAAGCAAGGTTTTCTTTAAACGCCAAGAATCCATTCATTTTTATCAGCGACCACTTTTGAGGCATTTTCCTTAATAATTAATCACTTAGTATTCCTTAATAATTTATCAGTTAGCTGCAACAATATGTGAACAAGAAAAATAAAGGGGCAGTGCTTGAGATTGCAAATCCAAAATCGTCTTAGTCATGGTTTATCACTTTGAATCATCAGTTGTGGGCATGCCCGTATTACGCTGGTGATAAGAATCTAAACTTATTTACTCACAACTTGTTGATTACAACAAATAAAACAGCCTGAAAAAATTATTTTAATCAGTTTATAATGTTTAAATTAATAAATTGTTTGCTTCCTTTTGTTTTTCTCCTTTACTTTCGTCTAAGAAATAAAACTTGATTGGTCTGACATTTCAACTTTCCCTAAAAATATTTGCAATTTTCAACGTATTATTTTTGCATTCCGTATCTTGAATGCAAGTATTATGATTTAATTATAAATTTAATTCAAAGAAATTCTAACACAATGGCCATAACAATTAGTCCTAATACTAATCGTAAATTTTTTTAAATTTCAATTAGTTAATTACAAGTTTGTGCAGTTTTTTAAAAGTATTTGTATCGATACGTAATATTTGTTGCTATATTGATTCTATTACGAATAGACCTACAATCTTTTCTATCATTTTATTTATATAAAATTTTACGTCTTATTGTGTTTTGCAGCTTCCACTATTACTGCCATAATAATTTTGTGTTCTATTTCAGCTGAAATTAATTGAAAAAGACCAAAATATTTGCGCAATAGATAAAGATTGCGTACACTGATAGCGATCAAATGGTTTATTTTTCTTCATATATTATAGTAATATCCTCGTTATTACTGCAAAATATTCTGTGCAGTTTTTCTGGTAATATCGTTGTCAGCTCACACGATGAAAGCCAGTAAGCTGATTAATTTTTTCCTTGTTAAAAAGCGCTCATTCAAAATTTGATAGCACTGAAACTCGGTCACTTTATGGCTTGAATTGGGGCAAAGCTTTGAACAAAATATGAGAACTCTGTAGTTAACTACTATTAAAATCTGCCGGGGAGGCTGCAGCGCAATGATTTCTGAGTAACAGCAGTATTTTTTCCAGATCTCTCTGCATTATCAGCAAAAAAAAGTAAATAGATAATTGAAGTGAAGTAAACCCAAATAGCATTTGAAAAGAGTGTTTAGTGGTAATTTCTATCAAAGGAAGCAAATGCATTCAATATGTTTCTTCTCATAAATTTTTTTTTCTTTTTCAAGAAGAGATTGAAATTTTCATTGCGATTAAAACTAAATTGTTATTGTGCTTTGAATATGGTTACTATCAAATTCGAAGAATTTTTCCATAAAGTGAAAGTGACATTTGTGTAAGCTTTGGAAAAAAATATCACTGAAAAATTCTGTGGGTTCTCCTTAATTTTGACTGGTTTTAACTGTGAATCATAGCTTTGTTTTAAAACCACAATTATTCATTCCTTTAGCAATGTGCCTGTTCCCTAAGCCATTGATATATCAGGCATCTTCGTCACATAATTACTAATATCACATTAGATGAAAGTAATGTTTGCAAGAAACACACTTGAATTTTTTACTGCTAAACGAGGCTTATATTTCAATCAAACATTTGCCGTAAATAAATATATTTCACATTCTCAATCAAACTGTAATCAATTATAAAGAATATAAACAACTTTTGCAGTAAAATTTGACTTGCAAAAATATGAAACGCTGTCAATATCGAATAACATCAAGAAATTATTTGAAGATATCTAAATTTTATTTTGCAGATATTGTCATCAAGTTTGTAAAACCTCTTGACCATACAATTTTCCTAAATTTTATTAAGGATTCGAAAACCATACACAGACGGGTTTTTCATATGCTTCATTCATTTATTTAGGAAATTCAAAGTTTTCCGAGTGATACCTCAAAATATAAAACAGCTCGAAAGCATGAGAAGATTATACTACGATCCCGTAAAACTACAGGTTTTTTCGTTTGCGAATTAATTAATGTCAAACTAGCGCTGTTTCACTGTTAGAAATATTCATCAGACTTAAATAATTTTTGATTTCAAAAACTCATCACTTTATCTGCGTAATATATATTTCATATGGAGTTTACCCAGTTTTACTCTTGCAAATTTTGTCTTACTAAATTTGCTAGTGACTTATTGATGTACGAAAATGTAAACTCTAGCTGGAAACCAACAATTTGCGTGAAATATTACGATTTGTTGCTGCTTTAATCAATTTGTAAGCTAGCTTGAATAAAATATAAAAATCCAAGCAAAGAATTGCAGTCATACAAATGACCGCTAAAAATATGTTATTTTAAGCTAAATTTTTGGCGATCACCAACAGATATTGGGCAATTTGTAGATATAATGTCTGATCCATCAGCAATTGATCCACTGATTGGTTATTTTAAAGATAACAATATCACTTTTGAGATTGCTATTGATGACGTGCAAAAGTGAGTATTCGACAATTCTTTCTGAGAAAAGTTAATAGTTATGACTTCCAAAATGATGAATAGTTTTCATTTCAAAATAATAAATAGATCTCTGAAATGATATCAGAAAAATGGTTTACCAAGTCAGTTTCAGATTGCTGATTGAACGAGAAGGTCAAGCATTTTCAAAATCTGATTCAATTTTGAATTCATTTTCGAAACGTTTGCAAGATATAACATGGAGTCGTAACAAAGCTAAATACAAATTTGGTGATTATCATTCGTACAAAAAAATTTTGACTTGGCTTGCTGATATTGAATACTTTTATCCACATATATCTAAAGTATTCACTATTGGAAGAACACATGAAGGACGAAACATCAAAGGCATCAAGGTATTTTTTATGAAAAAGGATAGAGCCCGTTTATAATTCTTAATCTTCTTCAATAGTACTTCAAATAATTTGTGCTTTTAAATAATTCACAGACTTAAAATAAAGTATGTTTGAGTAGATCTAAAGCTCAAATTTCTGGATACGTATTTTGCACCTTGAAAAACGAAATGTTGACACTTAGAGTAAAATTGTCTCAACATAGTATGTTCTTACAATTGTTTCATGACTTCCATTCACTGCTCGCCAGGAATGACAACTAATAATTGTAGGAGAAAAGATAATTTGCAAAGAAAATTAGTTTTGCTAAATTTGTTGCTTAGATTGGAAATCCGATCAGCAAAATAGATAAACGAATAATTTGGATTGATGGTGGCATGCATGCTCGGGAATGGGCTGCCATTCATACTGCACTGTACTTCATTGATCAGGCATGAATTATACATATTTGAATTCGTTAATATACATTTTGATTCCACGAAAAAAACTACCCGAAAGGTTAGCACCAACACATGCTGCAATTTTATACTTCACTGTTATATTTTTAATTAATTCTAAAGGCACTGTTACGAATCACAAACATATTAGATTGATTAATACGCAACTCACTAATCAAAATTCTCAGTGCTAGTTTTTGCATAAATTTTAGCTGATATCACAGTATGGTGTCGATCCAGAAATCACAGCATATATTGATACATTGAATTTCTACATTGTTCCAGTTGCAAATCCAGATGGATATGAATATTCACGTTCTGATCAAATGCCACAAGTATCGTGTTGAATGTTTGAACTCAAACTGTATATAAGAGAAAATAGAAAGTCTCAACAATAACAAAAATAACAAAACTATTAGATCAAAAAATACTTTATGATGTTTGATAATCACAATGGATAATATTAATCATTAGAAATATGATTTACTTAGTCATATGCTATATATATATATAAACCGTATTTTTGAGTCAAGCCTTTCATTCTTAGAAAAGAATTTGATGTGCAGTTAGTTACTAAAAAAATGACATCTACTGAATTAGCTTTGCAGTTAATTCATTAAGTGACTGTTTTCAATCGCCGAAAAAACGGTTTGTATCTGACAGACTGTTAAGCATGAATTGATCATTCGAAAGTATTTCAAGATTAGAACTAATTGTTGCTAAATAAGCTACAGCTGATACAGTTTTCACTTCATTAATTCAATCAGTGTTCACAATTTAGCATAAGTATACAGCAAAGAATTTAAGATAAAATTAAATCCCCTGATATTTTTCTGCTTTTCAGACAAGATTCTGGAGGAAAAATCGAGGTAAGCAATTATGTTTTAAAGATCATTGGCATCGTGAACGCTGCTGCGGTGGTGTAGATTTGAATCGTAATTTTGACTTTCACTGGGGAGGTTTGGTTTTGTGTTGATTATTTTGCTTATTACTGAGTGATAGACATGCTTCTGTGAGTTTAAGCAATTTGTTTATTGGTGAAAAATGTAAATAATGTAAAATTCAATGATTTAATAAAGGAAGTTTTGGACCTTATTTTCCGAAATTTTGTTTCATTAGTTTGCTGTGACAAATATTGGATTAGATAATAAAATGGAACAAACTATTCATTTATAAATGAATTTCTGGAAATCTGATTGTGTCTTTTGAATAAAATATCTGCAACATTCTTTCTAGAAAGTGGCTCCAGCTCTGATATTTGCTCTGAAATTTACCAAGGCGACAAACCATTTAGTGAGCCTGAAACGAGGTAGCAGTTGCATTTCCAGCGTTGACAAACTTAAATTTCTTCATGTTCACTTTTAAAACTTACTTTGGCGGTAGCAAATGTACTAATAAAATAATTCCAGTTATTCAGTATCTAGTAAATGTGTACTCTTTCTGAATGAGTTGATATAGTCTTACCATTTTAATCAATTAACTAAAAACTTACAATTTGAATAAAACAATCGGTCTGAAGATTGCTTTTAGTTGAAATGATATCTCTTGGGAAATGAAGAATTCATAGTTAATAGACGTAAATAATTTTGTTCTTTGAAGACAAAGAAGACATGAAATTCATTTCAAAAAATCAATATATGGTTAGGTTGTTTTTCCACTCAATCACTGATGAATAATGTGATTTTTCTTTTCATATCACTTTATTAACAAGTTAAATCGTTCAATTGTTTGTCATGAAATGACTGATAATCGATCAGATCATTATCCGATTCCATTTACCCTATTTTTTCGATGACCAGAAATTATTTTGGATAGATTGTAACAACCAAAAGCGCTTTTGAGAGATACTGTTAGCAAAATCAGTAACTGAATGACATAAAGGATATGATTAACTGCGCAGTGTTTCAGAGCTATTCGAGACAAGTTGTTGTCAGCAGAATTGAGGGGTAAAGTAGACGCGTTTATCACTTTGCATACTTACAGCCAAATGTGGATCCATCCGTACAATCATCAGCGTCACTCATTTCCTAACGATGTCTACGACCTTGTGAGAATTCGTCTCCGATGCGCTAAGTAACACACTAAGCGTCATGTTGACACCTTTAATTCTTGACATTTCATTCCAACTACTGTCTTCAGCGAAATTTTTTCTTCAAATTGCTTAATCTTTAGAAATTACTTAAGTGGAAAAATTTATTCTTTAAAGAATTAGAAAGTGAGAGTAAACAAACAGATCATTTTTCGACATACAATGCTGATTTTTGATAAAAGCGATACTTTAGTTCTTTTCAATAAAAATTTTTAAAAATTATTTTTGCAAATATTACAAGTTAGAATAGAACAAGATCCGACGACTAAGAGCAGGTGCAAAGTAACATTATCTAGAAATCAATTTGCAAATCAGAAATATTTATAATTTATTCGTGTTGCTTTCTGTAAAACTGATAAAGCTTTTTACTGGAAGTGAGAAATTTTGAGGAAGAAGTCGGTAGACGAGCTGTAAAAGCGCTTGAGAACGTTTATGGAACGAAATTTCGCTTCGGCTCTGGAGCAGATATATTATGTATTCATTTATTTTTTGCTAACTAAATTACTGTAATTAAATGAATAGAATTTTGGCACAGTAAAGTACAATTTAAATAGCTCTTTTCACTTTGATACAGCTCAAGACTTATTAATTTCAGATCCATCAGCAGGAGGTTCTGATGATTGGGCCAAAGCAAAAGCTGGTGTTAAATTTGTCTATTTACTCGAATTAAGACCAGGCGAAGGCGGTCAGTCTTTAACTCTGATCATATTTCAACCACTTTAAAACAAACTGTTTCAGATAGTAAAATTAAGTTTTCATTTTAATTATTGAAGACAATGAAGAAATTGTAGCAGGTTTGATCCAGGTTAAAAAAATCAAACTTATAGAATCATACTAATAAATTTAATTTTCGTCGTAAAAGTTGAAGTTTCAAAACTTTCAGTCAGTAAGAAATACTATTTCTGAAACAATTTAGATAAAGAGTTACCGGTGAGAGTTACCTTTTGAAACAAATAAAACAATTTTATGTGCTGAATTGCGTTTAGTAACGCATTTATAAATTTAAATCATCCACAATAAAATGTTTTTTGTTGCAGAATGGGATGGTTTTTTGTTGGATCGTCGACAACTTATACCAACAGGCCGAGAAACATGGACTGGTGTGCGTGTCGTTATTGATGCAATTATGAAAACGCAAAGTGCGCAAGTTTTAATATTATAATACGTAATACATTTACTTGTTGAAACACTTCAAGATTTTGAAAAACTATATTTGTAATTATAATAAACAGAGCTTACCAAATTGGGTTCTGCGTCTAATTCAACCACTCAACGGGAATGGCCAACAGAGGAAAAGCAAAAATTATCTGTAATTTTTCGTTCCAATCCACGTTTTCCACCCAGGGAAGAGGAGAAAACCACGATAACACGTACCCACTTATTGATATCTTCACGTCCATCAAGCAAACAGCAAATATCTCAGAATGAAACTTTTCGGAAATCAGGAATTATTCGTGATAGACAAGAGAGTAAGATGCAAGAACCACGACTACTTCCGAATCGTATGATTTTCAGTTTTTTTGTTTCGTGCACAAATTTGAACTTCTTGAAATGCTCTGTTTTATTTGTGTATGTCAATTTCAGATAAATTTAAGACCACTTATCAAAGCGTTATTTATTATCACTTTGATAAAGTTTTTCGAAAAAATATGTTACAAACTGATATTTCAGTGAAATGAATGCTTGATTTAACTGACACTCAAATTATGATTTGTGTTGAGAATGAATTCTACTTCCTAGGAATTCTGTTTTCTATTATATTTCTCAGAAGCTATACGAGTTGAGGCAGTAATAATCTTAGTGCTTCAGGTGAATGCTTTGATATTTCTAAATGGTGCAAAAATTGGATTAGGATCAGTCCAGATGTTTGCATCAAATCAGCTGCTTATATGCGACGCCAGTGTACCTCATCCTGTCGTCTTTGCCACACAACTTAATCCCTTCCACTTTCCGATCCAAATTTATCGAGAGTTCATCAAGTTTGTTTTTGCCAGTCTCTAACTGAACTGTTCGCTGCTCAATTTGATCAGTTTCTTTGTTCAATGAATGCTCCATATTTTCAGTAAGAAGACCAAACTTTATCGTAAACATGTCAAGACCGAATAAAATATTTTAAGCTTTTCTTATTCTTGATTACGATGAAAATAACATGACTGTTTTGAATGTAGCTCAGCAATTTTTACCTTTTTGTTCCTTTTCAAATATTATCTTTCAAATTCATTCTTAATCTAAACATGCTTTTATTTTATTATCACTATAATAAATAAAATAAAAGCAATGAAAACAATAATAATATTCATACTTAAAGTAAAGGGAAGGTTCAGATAACATCAACACTTGATACTTATCAATCACTCAAATCAACACTCATCAATCTCACCACAACTTTACATTTGTGCATAAATTTAACAAAAATATCTTTTTCATAAATAGTAGCAAATTTCTGATTATTTTCTAGTTTCTGTTATATTAAATTCTAAACAGTGTATATCGGCTTGATCAGATAAAAATTTGTTTCTTCAGTTTTATCCAATTATATAAGAATATTCTCGTGCAAATACTTTTCATGACATATACTCCAATTATCATTTCAACCAGTTTGGAAGAAAAAAGATGCAATTGGTGCAACTGCCTTGAAGATTAATTTTAGCTGATTTTCATCAGCACAATTATATTTGTTACTTTTTTTAGAAGTTGAATTAAATTCTTTCTACTTAAAAGCTCTTTATAAAGATTTGCTGCATGGCACTCAATCAATTTGACGACTGAAATTTTTTAAATATTAATTTCGTGACAAGTTTATTTGTTTGAAAAGAAGGAAAGATCATTCTCGTCACGTAATATTAGTTTGCGCTCTTTATAAAGCAACTTGCAGAAAAATTGCTTATAGAATCTGTCATTATATCTACAAAGTTTCCAAATATAGTGAATGTAATACCCATTTATTATTATTATTTTTACTGTTTGGCTACGATAAATTTAATCCTGTAATGGAAAAAGATACATAAGCAAAAAACTTCCATATGACCATTCTTATTACTACTAAAGAGCTTTATTCATGAAAATTTTTAAAAAGTAAAAGAATACTCAAAAATTGAAACCCGTATGAAAAATTAATAGTGCAACAATTGCACGACTCCAGTGCTGATTCCTTGACTTCTGAGAAGCCTAATGATTGGTAATAAGTGCAGTATTAAGTATGAGTAATAGATCTCATAATCAGTAGTTTTTTTAGGTTCCAATGAGTAACATTTTTTCATCATTAATTTTACGTAAAAGTCCACTTGTCAACTCGTGACCACAAGCAAAAAGCCAAATCAGCTTAAATATACTTGTAGGAGCATTATATAGGTCTGAAACAAATTTATGTTTAAACCAAAAAAGATACAACACGAATCTTTTTACAGAATAAATGGCGAATTTGCAGCATCCATTTTCAATTTCAAATTCTTCCATCATTCAGCGCTTGTTATGATGCCATAAATATTTAAATCACTTTGCTTTGCATTTTTTTATTAAAAAGAATATAGATAGTTGTACAAAAAAGACTTTCCAAAATTCTTGTAAATTAATTGATATTTATCATTATCATTTAGCATTCATTATGAAGTTCGATTTCGGAATTCTTCTACAGACAATATTTAATCTTTTGTGGGTAAGTCTTGAGTCACGCTTTTCATAACTTTTATATATCCAAATTCATATATTTCATTATTATTACATGATATGCAAATTTTAAGATTATAGAGGCACTTAATCAATCTGAACAGTTACAGCCACTAATCATTACGAAAAAGTGCTATCAGTTTAGTAGGCTCGATGAATTTTCCAAACTCTTGTCATGATTCGCTACATTGAATTCTACTGTACAACAAAACGAAATAGATTGATGTTTAAATAGTGATATAATTAGAAGAAAGAAGAAGCACAAGCGCAATACTTGTAAAAAATTATTTTTGACGAAGTGGCTATTGGCAAATCACAAACGAACACATACAGGCGAGAGGTCATTTAAATATGTGATTTGTGGTAGGTGTACCGCGGAATATGGCAATTTGTTGAAGCACTATCGCATGCACACTGCTGAGAAACGGATTCAATATGATAACATTAGTGCTGCGTGCTCTTCACAACAATCAAATTTACCAAATTTTATGACAAGTTATTGAGATGTAACTTCTGCACTCAATCTTTCTCTTATCACACAAGTTTGCAAGCTCATAAAATTAAACATCTTAAAAAATGAGAAGTAAGCAATGTGTCTGGTATCTTTCGACACTTACTAATTAATCAGTAATAACTCTGATGAAAAAAACTTGCATCAGCGTTTCTGATCAAAAATTGTAATGAGTTTTGTCATAGATTATTGATTTTTTGTAATGATTGAACTTTTGAACACTGCTGCTTCGCATGTGAATCCCGAAAATCTAGAAAATAAACTAAGATCAGTCTAGAACATTGATCTTACTTTATTTGATACTAAGATAAAAATTACATCAACATTTAAAATGCAATTACTGTGGCACTTCTTTTGAGATAAAATATTCCCAGTGTAGATTTTATTTAATTCATTCATTGCTGAGCTATAAAAACTTGCAGAGAAAAGTAACTTTCAAAAATTATGTCATTTATTTTTCATTTTCAAAGATGAATTGGTGGTGCAATATGCGAGATGCTGCAAGCAAGCAAATGTGCATCATAAAAAGAATGCTAAGCAGACTGACTGCTCACAGATGCAGTAAAATTGTTTCACTTCTTAATCTTCTTCCTTTTCAAATCTCTTCAGTACTCTTATTCTATTTCTATTCTTATTTATCTTTTTTTCTTTTTTCTCTCTTCATCAAGCATTCTTCTCTTATTCTCATTTTCTTTTTTCTCGCAATGTCTTGTCTTTTAATCCACTTCTCATCTCTTTTTGTTTTTTTGCTCTTTTCATAATTCTTTTCCACTTTTTTTACTTATTTTTATTTTTTCTGTTTTTGCTGTCTTTCTTCTCATTCCTTCACTCATTTTGATTTTTAAATTTTGAGCAGAAATTAGATTTTAAAATATAACTATTCAAGTCAAAATGAGACAATAAACGTTTCTTTATAATTTTTTGAAATGCAAACAAAAAGATCTCACGGCACTTTTTTGAAATTGGAAATGAAAACTTACGGATTATCGTCACAGTTGCTGAACCATTCGATGAAATTAATGTAAAAATTGTGTGATGACGGGATAAAATTTGTGTGGACAAAGGAAATATGAGGGCATGTACAGAAACATATCTCAAAATTGATATGATTGCGTGTTTGGCTTGGTGCAAATGAGTGGGATAACCCGAGAAAATGTTTATGGATGTATGCTATGCGAAGTATGCCTGTAAATAATTAAACTTTGATGCATTGTTCTGAAATAGTTGGATGTTCTTTACAGCGCTAATTTCTAGATAAATCTACATGCTGAGAACTGTATTATCTAGTTTAGACTAGTACTTGCCAAAGAATTTTAATATAAGAGGTAATGTCTCAGTCTCGAAATGTGCTCTTCAGTCACACTTCTGGTCGAAAAAGGTTCTCATGAAGTTTCTCGTTCTCAATACTCATATTAAAAGTAGAAAACTTTTCTTCTATATTTTTTCTTCTATAATATTGAAAAATAACAAGAATGAAAGGCTTTTATGACTGGTGCTGCTACTTTTGAATGAAATTGAATTCCTTTCCTTTTAAGGTGCTATGAAGGGAAAGAATTAAACCATAGATCATAGAACTCTTTAATTAATTGACTAATTCATTTTAATAATGTGTAAATATTGAACAGATAAGCACTCTTTTATTATATTTAATGGATGTCGATGATTTAGGTTCATGTAGCTGGATTTTAATATAATATGATGATCTAGAAAATAACCAGTACAAATGACATTAATGATGATATTTAAAATGATTAAAATAAAACTGTAGCAAATATGATAGTAGTACTGTAGGTAGCTTAAAAATCATTAAAAAATAATAATAACAGCAACACTGATTGATATGTAAAGAAATATGCACTTAATAAAAAGGAAAATACGGATAATGATTGAAATGATAATGACTTCAAAAATTAGAATGATGAAGCTAAGAATGAAATTTATTCTGCTGTCAAATGATTATCATTATTAATAATAATATTACTATTATGATTACTATCATCAACAGAATCGATAATAATCTTAAGTAATCATTATTATTCATTATATTGGCAATAATTTTCTTTATCTAAGAATAACAGCAATTACCTTTATTTAAAAAATCTACTACTAGTAGAAACTATGGGTTAAAATATGAAGCAATAGAAAAGTATGCTTTTTTTTTTGTATATATATTTAAATACAATGTTTGCGTTGAACAGTTTTAGAATCGACGGCAAATACTTGATGAAGTGATGCCAAACAGTTTTGCAGAAAGTTTGAAATTAGTGGCCAGATGTATTGCATGATCGATAATAACGAATTGTGGCTTTACTAAAATTAGTGGTAATTTTGCTGTAGGCATTTGTAGTGTGAGTCCTTTCGATAATTTATCGTTAGCAATCTGAAAAAGGGCAAAGTTCGAATTATTTTTTTTTAATGTTGAATTTGTAGGATAGTTTAATACTTTCCTGCTCCCTAATTTTGATAAGCATCGAAATGATGAATCTTTTAAATAGCTGTTAATTAAAAATCGATCTCAAAGAAATTATTGTATTTTCCATATGAAAAATTTGAGATTCTACTGCAAAAATCTTTCACTTCGCAAAAAAAACAATAATATCATGAAACGCTCGACGTATTAACAAAGTAATCACTTGAAGCAATAGTTTTTGTGTTTGTCTTATATGAATATGGATATGAATTATTCAGTGCTTTGACAAATATTTAAAAAAAAACCTTTGACAAGATATCCTTGGATAAACTAGCCAAACTAGTTAATGCTTCTTCAGACAGTCCCAAAGTTTGTTCATTATCAGTTAAATTTAAGGATTTTATTTCAATCACAGCACTAATTCGATCGGAAAATAGACGTACGTTTCCAGCAATAACTATATCAATGATAATTCTACCTATCCTTTCTCCAGTGTCATCAATGTACAACAAAGCTTCTAGATCCAAATTAACGTTAGCTACGCCTTAAAAAGAGTTTTGAAAATTATTAATTTAATTAATAATCAATGCTTTTATATTTTGCAAGGTGATTGTTAGCATATTACTTTTGTATTTACAAAAGTTCCATCAGCAGTCTTTAGTATAACTTTGAACTCATTTCATATCTCATTTCGAGGTGTATAAAAATGTTAGAACAATGAAATACTTGAAAATTTCGCAAATTTTCGTTGCTGTAAAAGAATTATGAGCAAAATTGATGTAAGAATTTCTATAAATTCATTTGAAAAATTATTTTAAGGAACCATTTCTATCAAATTTTTAAGAAATATAAGGAATTTGCAATGTGACCACATTTTATATTAAATGTTGATTGATAACTTCTTTGATAGTATACTTGATACAGGAGCAAAAATTGTTTTAGATGTTATAAACTCTAAGTGGATATATTTTTGCCATCAAGACTTATTGTTCTCACATTTTTGTAAACCTGAGCGTCAGTTTTTCAGCTTAAATACTAGTCACGTAAGCTTCGTGATCTGTATATAATTACGTAATTTAAATTGTCACGGTTTCTTTTTTTTTTCTGTAGTAAAACTTTTCAAAAAAAACATACCACCATTTTTGGACTCGAAGATCACAGATGGTGCATGTAAGGTATGAATTTTGATGTTTAATAGTCTGTTAGGAAATTTATCACGAATTGCAGGCATAATATCACTAAGGCAAATTCCTAAGTCAGCGCTTTTAGTTGCTTCATTGGTGTCTCGTTTAGAACGATTTTGGAGCGTAGAAGACATTGTTGTTGTTATTGTAGGCAGCGAAGATTCTTCTTCAGAACTTATTTCTTCATCCTATAATCAAATTATGATTCTTCTAGATGATGAAACTATTATGTTAAATAATCCAAGTCAACTTCGAAATGACAGCATGTGTCTGTGCCAAACTGCACAATTCGTTTGGCCTCATAATTGCAAAATTTTACGTCGCATTAAGAAAAAACTGCAAGTAGTTTTTGACTGACGAAATAAATTGCAAACACATTACGAAGAATCATATCAAACGGTTGAAGTTAAGTTTAAATTCGAAAACCAGTTGTAAATTTTAAAGCAGTAATTACATCGACATCCCAATTATCGAAATCATCGAAATCATCATCAGAACAACTTGTTCTTAGAAATTCGCCAATAGTTGGCGTATCAGGACCGATACGAAATGTGAAAAAATCACGTCTAAATCAAATTATTCTTTTAATCTAAACCAAATTAAAATATGTTTTGAATTTTCTAAGTTTTTTTTCTAAGCTTCAAAAAGACTTTCTGAAAATTAACAACTAATAATTATTTTCATTATGAAGGCTTTATTCGATTTGATTTTGGTTTTTGTCGTAAAGTTGAGTTGTTTATTCTGTGAATATAAAAAAGCACTAGAATTGTGAAAAAAAAAGTAGTCACTCATGCATAATATATAATAACGAATTGATAGCGTAATCGCTGATGAGTGCTTCCAACATCTGACGATTACTTGGAATGAACGGAAATTTCATCGGAAATGGATGGAAAGGGGTAGTAGTACCCCGCCCTTTCGCGGTAAACTCTCCTTTAAGACCAAAAGTGAAATCGTTTGGCGTTGCCGATGTCTTCACTAATTGCACATTCAGCATAATATCAGATAATTTTCGCTGTAATTATCATTTAAGAAGTAAAAATTTAATCTAGGGTAGAAAAGCGTAATCAGGCTATTTATCAAAAAGGTATAATTTGTTTCTCAAAAATTTACCATATCAATTGTTGGGACAAAATTAGTAAGCATATCTAAAGGATTTGAATTATGACTGTCATAGCAGTCAGCACATGGATCCATCGTTGAGCTCTGTTTTGAATCAAAGGAGGTCAGACGTTGTGTCGAAAAAGTCGATGGCAATGTTATGAGTTGCAAAGGGACAGCAGTAACAGTAGTATGTTCTTGCCACTGACCTGGCGGTAGTTGATGTGCTTGTGGTGTGAGACTTGCCTTACGCTTTTGACGCACGAAAAACTTACTAATCTTCTAGAAATGAAAACATTTTTCAATTCTTGGCACTATTTTAACTTCACACCATGTATTATTATTAGCAAAAAATTTTTTTTAATTACAGAAATAGAAAATTTGACGTGAATCGAATTTTTGGAGGTTCTAAGTCACGATAACTTTAATATTTTCATATATTTTCTGACTTTTATGTAAGTTCGATGATCGATGATTAATGGCGCAAAGATGTTTTATTATACTCTAATTACTTATCTTAAGCAATTTTTTAAATTATTTTGTGTTTTCATGCTTCTATGACTAACTCTGGCTCCTGTAACAGCTGTAGTAGTACTGGCATGCTGTGGTTGGACTAGATTCGTAGTAGGCTCCTGGGTCCACAACAATAGTTTACTTTTGGGATTTGCAGTTAGAGTGAATTTTCTACTGTCTTGGCTTTGTGATATGCTTGCAAAAATATTAGATGCGTTTTGAGTTGCTAACGGAGCTGACAAATGCGTTATTGCGTCGAGGTTCCGAATCCTTTGCTCACACAATGGAGTATAGCACTGAAATTAATTTTTATATCAATAATTACTTTTCGTTAACTATTATTTTTAAATGTTAATAATAATATCGTCATTACATTTATTATTATTATTATCATTACTACTGCATTCATATTTGTTCAGAAAGTTTAATATTTATTATTGTGAAAATTTTCGTTTGTATTGTAATTATTATTGATATTATTATTAAATATTATCAGTATTCAACCTTACAGATATTAAACTTTCTAAACAAATATGAATGTTTTGAAGTATGCCCCATAATTATGAGCTTGGTGCTTTTTGAATGAAAAAATTTAGATATTTTAAATGTTTAGTGTTATCATGTAGTAATTTATGCTAGTAACACGTTGTAGTGCGTTGGATTTCACTTCTTTGTTAAATGTGAAATAGAAATTAGGAGTTAAAAATGATGATAACCTATAACAGCGGTGAGTTATTATTAATATTATTGATTGTATATATTATTGATTAATTATGAATATTTATAAAGTTTTTTCCAGAATTTTCGAATTCCTTAAATTAAAGCATGTAAGCGAACATGTTGAGGTAAATTGGTGCTTTTCATGCTACTAATAATTCCTTCTGCAATATCGGCAAATTTATTAAACGAAATCATTTGAGGCACATTGCGAAGACGTGAGTTTAACGTTCGGCTAACTATTTCATGAACTACTGAGCAAACTTTTTCGGATGCCTTTTTGCGCACCTGCTCAGCCGCGATATGCTGAAAATTTAATTAGTGGAAATGCTTTAAATTCAAACAAAACATTGAATAAAGAAATTTATTGTTTGGTTTTTCATTTCATAAATCATCATAAATACTTTATTTCACTTAAAATTTCTTTGGATGAAATATCACGCAATCATTCTAAATATAATTTGAGCTATTGTTGTCCAGTAAGATTCAAGATTTTTTTGCTGTGAACAAATAAACATAATCAAATCAATAGCACATGAAGGCTAATCTTTTTTTGCACTGTTGATTCTGGTGCTGAACCCAAATCTGACATTCTCGCTGCACTCGCTCCGTGATCAGTCTTGTATGTTGGTCTTCGTCGTTTCGTCATGGTAGAACCAACAGCGTTGATAGAATGAAATGCTTTAGAGCGCTTTCTACTGCACTGTCGATTAGATAAATGCCTTGGCGCGACCAGAAATATTCATTTCCTTCACATAACGTTCATGGAAGTTCATCAGTACCCTTTCCTACGTCATCGTCACTTGCGGAATTATTTTCGTTTTGCATTCCATCTCTCTCCCAAGCTTATTAGCAAGTTAATCACATTTTAGCTTCTTCTTGGTCTCGACTGCTATCAACCTGTTTTTACCAGTGATTCTAACCTCTATTAGGAGCACTACGTGTCGCTTCTTATTGTATACCAGGATGTCCGGGTTCTGTTCTTACTAGCGCATCGACTCTTATCTCCACTATTTCCTGAACATAGTGGCTTCGCTTGCGTGGGAATACTTTCAGACTACATTTCTTGCTGAGTCTCAAATGGATACACCAGGACCTCATTATGCTTCTATAAGCACAGTAATGACGCAGAATTTTGTCATACTGTATGGCAAGATGCTCCACACTTTGCCTACACTTTCCCTGCTGGCACGTATTTCTCTTATGAGCGGTAATGTTATATTTTAGCCACACTGAAGATGGCTTATTCCTACGCATTTTATATACCTTTGCATGATGGGTTTTCTTTTCAATCACGCTATAGAATAATGCTTTTTGGGCTGCTAATACGTTTTCGACAGCTGTATTTTCTACGGGGTTGTACCTAATCTTTAAGTAAGAGTATAACTGATAAGTGCTTATAGCGTGATTGAAAAGAAAACCTGTTTAGCAATACTACGTTATTATTAATTTACTACATATAAATCAAAAGTGGATATTGAATGCAGCATTACGTATGATTATCTTAAAATTAATTCATTGGATGAGCAAACGTACACGAAACTGTGTATTGAAAATGTTCCCTACGAATCCTCCATTTTGTATAAGGACGTCTGTATAACCGATTGAGACGTGACATCTAAAAACTTTCATGTAAGGGTATCCTTTTGAGGCTCGATGGACAGTTAGTTGAATAGTTGCAGAAACCTGGAATTATTTTTGTGTTAAAGCTCTACCTGTATTTTTCAGCTTTAAAAAAACCTAAAAATAGAGAATGAAATTAGATTTAAAAAATTATTTGTTTAAAAATATTTTGTAACTCACTTATTATGTCAAATTGCCTAATTTTAAGGTAAAATACAATTTTAGAAACCTTTAGGACTTATTAGTGTTTTTCATTAAATTTTTGTATATTAGTATTTGAAGAGTTGCTTTTGACCTGATATGCATTGATATGAATAGTACCACCTAAAATAATTGGCAGCAATACTTGGATTTCACCACCAAAATTTCCTGTAATCCTGAAATTGCAGTGATTTTGTGTAGTGGTTGATAAGGCTTATTGTAGAATTTCATGAATTTCAGAAAGCAGTTTTAGAATTTAAATTGTACTCTTTTTTTGATGGCAACTGATATTTTGATAAGCATTATTGTTCACAGTAAGAAACTGTTCAGTTCAAAATTTTGGAATTCGAATGCTTTAAATGTCAATTCCGATATAACTTTTGGACAAAATACGCATCATTCAGCTACTGAAAAGTTTGCTCAGAGAGACTAACAAAGAAATACTTCAGAAAATTTCTTTAATTTCAAAATCATAAAGAAAAGTAGCAGTGATAATGGCTCACCCGACATCGAAATTCCGCACAATGATTGTGAGGCGCTTTGGTGGTGTAGGGATAATGGACACCAGTTGGGGACATCGATATCGAGCAATGTACAGATTACGAATCGTAATACAGCCTTTAAGCTGTAATTAGTTGTAAAACTTGTTCATAAACTGCTTCCAAAACTATTATACTTGTGACTTGATTTATTGCAATGATTTTAAATTTATTAGCACTATAATATTATTCTTCATATTTTCAGCTTCGCGAATTTGTTAAGAATTGAAAATATTTAAAGTATAACAAAATTAATAATTACTTGTTGAAAGCACTGTTCTGTAAGCGGAAAACGAATCCGTTTAATTTCATCGCTAATTACTGGACTAGCAAAAAGACTGATATATGAAAAACCATAATTGCTGATTCGAAATTCAAGTCCAGGTAAACCTCGGATATTACTGAACAGTCGTGAATTTACATTTTTTCTGCTAAAAGCACTGTGAAAAACAATCAATTTTAATTAAGTTGACAAAGTTTTGATAATAAAGTGCGCTAGCTTATTCCATATTTTATTCTCTCGAATAGGAGAGTTTAAAGATGAGATAATTGTAAATTACTTCCTTTTACTATTTTTATGAGCATTTAACTTCATTTAAAATATAGCTAGTCTTTATTTGCGCGGATAGATTAGGAATTTTTAAGGTCTCAGACTACTTTTCATTTTCTTTATGCATCTATCAATTTAAATTTAATGAAAAGTCGAAAAAAATAGCATTTCAAAAATATCATGACATTAGTAAGAAAATGGCCAGCACTATCACTGGTGGTCAGAAGGATTGTTCTGAAAAAATTAAAAAATTTTCATTCCATAGTTAGTATATTATTCCGACCAAGTATTTTGGTCTAGATGAATAGCAAAATATGTTAAGATTTTGTAATATAATAATAATAATTAATTTTTGAAAAAATAACGAGTTTAATCACTTCATGTTTATTTCTTAATTAGCTGATTTAATGAACTATTCTAATTCTTGTCCTAATGGCAATAGGAACTGAAACAATTGCTAGTGCTGAAATTGCTTTGGTAACGATTTATTCAACGCTAAAATTGGAAAAGATTATTCACTTGGGAAGATCAAATCCTTTCGCTCGACTCGGCGTTATTTTTGTTGTTGATAAAGGTCTCGTTACAATGCGAACAGTCTCACCACTTAGATGCCTGACCTTTGATCCAAAATTGCCAACGAATAACACTGATAAAAATGCGAGAATGCTGCAGTGCTGGAAGCAATTAGTTTAAAGCTTGCATAACTTTAAATTCCTTTTTAAGTTTTGTACTTTGATTAATTCTGTTTTCTTCATGAACAATTTTTTGACTTCTGCATTAATTTCTGCTAATAATTTCTATCACCAATTATATCACAAATCTAAACCATATTCTGCTATTTCATCTAGAATTTCAGTTCCAAAATCGCCTGAGCTTATTTCTAACATGAAAGCCAAATTAACTTACATAAGTCAACATAACAATTATGTTATAAATATTAGCCAAAAACACAAGGATGTCTGGTAGAAGTAATCAGTCCGAACATTAGTTCGAAAGTAGCGAAATTATTCGTCGCTCATACATAAAGCGCTCCACACTGTGGACATACTGTTTTAATACAGTTTCCCTTTTCAGGTAATTAGTTGAATTTCTAAAACTTTTCGATCAAAAAAATATTTGCAGCCGTGTGAAAGACACAAATTATGCTATCATTTTTCGGTCTTATTAACAGTAAAAACACTAAAAAAAATTTAATGAAAATGGTAAAGAAAGAAGTCAAAGGTCAAATCAGCGATGAAAAGTCAGAAATAACCAAATATCATCATTCATGCCACCTCAATTTGATAAAAATTTGTTTGTCAGCAATGTTTTATTGAAGTAAAGAATTTACCGAGCACGAAGGAATACTGTTTACAGCAGAAAGAAAACGGTTTTAGAAATGAATTTAGAGTAAAAAATAAAATTTTTTCCTAAAATGATAAAATAAAAAACTGAGACTTGTGTTGACAGAATAATTGTAAGATTTTTGTATAGAAATTCGATTTCCACAACAAAAATGGAAGTGAACCCAAATTTTAATGATAAATTCTACAGACAGAATCTTTATTATATTCTGTTCGTAATGCAAAATAAATAAATACATCACTGAAACTTTGATAAAAATTATTTTTTAATTTTTTGTTTTACAGTCTGTTTGTATTTTAAGTTTTAGACGAAAAAAAATGGTGCCGTATAAAAGTTTTCAACGAAAAATTTGTGCTCAAAATGTCTGTTTATCAAACAGAAGCAAAAATCTTCTCCAAGTACTTGCATTTATGCAAATGCAATTTTTCAGAATCCTAAATAGTATACGTCCCATAAGCTCACGTATGTTCTAATAATACTGAGCAAATGACCAAACATTCTCAGAATCATGCCGACTATATAAAAATCAACAGTTTCCAATTTTCAAATGTTTGCATTGAATCTCATAACAAGAGTAGTGAATTTCCTGTAAAATAAGGACAGAATGAGTTGTTTAAAAAGATGAAAGATTCTGCCTGAACATAATCAAGCTGTGAAAAAAGTCCTAACCTACTGATAATTAAACGATATAAATTCATGGCATTTCTTACAAACTCATTTATCCAAGTTTATGTATTTACGTGTCCAGAATATCCCTTAATCATGTAGGAACTTAAATTTAAATTTCAAACAAATTACTCAATCATAATACTGTATTCGAATAGTGCAAGAGCGCAATTTTCTGGCGCTATTTAAATTCTGCGCAGATTTTTACTGATTTGCCTAATTTGTAATATATTTTAAAAATTCCTTCCCAATTTGAAACTCATAATACGTGATTAGTAGAGACTGATGAAAACTGCAATTAAATGGTATAACTACAATTAAATTATAATTAAATTATATTTAACTGGGAAACTGCAATTAAATGATACATTTAGGTTTAAAGTGCTTTAAGAATATCTATGTGAAACCAGATGATAACTGTATGTAGTTACTTATGTACTCAAATCATTCACTGATATTCGAATAAATTATTCAATAATTAATGAACACTTAACTTGCTGAAAACTACTATGTATGTTTATGAGGCAATATGTCCTTATGTCTTATGCCTTAACATGGCCTTATGAAGATATTAAAACATATAGTGTTTTGTTTTGCGAGTCCAATATGACCAGTATTTAAAACTATCACTAATGTACAATAAATCTTTGTATATATTTCCACAAAATCAAAAATTAATTCACTTCGTCACATTTGAAGAGATGAGTTTCATGCAAAAAGCACGAATTAAATTCCACTAATGAGGAAAAAACTCTGGAATTGAATTAAATAATATTCACGTCACAGAAAGCTGTAATCCAATCTGTGTTGCTATTACCAACCAGAATCTCAAGTATGCAAGCATTTAAACAAATAGTGATTAGAAAAAATTTTTAATAAAAGTTTGTACTCAAAGTGAAAACTACTAAGAATTATTGAAATTGTTGAAATCAGCAAGTATTTATGATTACCAAGTATCTCATTATTTTGTAGTTCAAGTCTAAACTTGACGTTTTGAAGTCTAAATAAGCTGCAATTTCTGCCACTTTATAATATTGTAATTGCAATTGGTGAATTTCTGGAATGCGAATCTTTTATTTGAAAATTTTGACTTCAGAAAAGAAAAACTGTTTTCAGTGGATAGTTTGAAGAACTTTAAATTCAATCAAAGTTTACTCACGAAAAACACAAGTCCCAAGGTATACGTAGAATACTAAATAGTGCAAAACCATGTATAAATTATGAGGAACGCTGTTTTTATGCTTCACTATAATGATGATAATGTCAATAATTAGCAAGTATTTTAATAAACGTGAAAGACAAGAACAATGAAATATATGAAATGCATGAAGTTGTATATTAATATGATCATGATTATCGTATCAGGAAATGTATAATATTATTATTTCTGTTAATATGAATATTATAAGTAATATAATTGTAACTATTATGAATTAAATCATCAGTAAATAGTTGAGATGAAAAGAGAACAGAGAAGTATTATTCGACCGATTGTAAAACGTGCAATTGAGCACAAAATAAAATTTATGATTTTGTTATTTGAATGATATTAATTGCTTGAGGCGAATTTGAGCCATCTGAAAGTAGAACCGAAGCAAATTCGAATTCATTTAGGATTTGTGTTGTTGTGGTACAAACAAGAATGACCACAAATACAAATAAAAGCAAAAGAATAGAGTAGATGGAGTCGATTGCAAAAAGAGCAAGCCTGAATGATTAACTAGCTTTGCTGATAGCAGTGGTCAAGTCGAAGCTATCACTCAACTATATTCTCATCAGCTAGTCTGACTGTTCAAATCAAATTACTGTTTTCATTGTTATTTTTTCAAAATTGTTGAAATTAACTTCTTATCATTTTTTATCTCGAAATACTATATCCTTACTTCTGAAAAACTGAAGTGCTTTCTGCAGAACAGCTGTTCTATCAATTCTAAGAAGAATTAGAACATAACCACTAATTGTAATTACAATAATGATAAAAATCAATGATAATATCTATAGCAAACTAATAATAATAATAGTAATAATAATAAAAGTAATTAATTTCATAATTGTTATCATTATTAATAGAAAGAGAGAGAAGAAATTGACGACAACGAATTATCATCATTTATTATAACTCTGTGAGAGACTAAATTTGACTCATATTCGGAACCGTTGCTCAGTGCTTCTGAGTACATTATGAATACATGCATGCCATTATTGATTAAGATTTTAGAATGTTTTACTTAATTATTTCACTTCCTCGATATCATTGAACTCAATCAAGCTTTTGCTGCACATTATCACTCAATCATTTCACTTGTATCATTTTTACATAATCAGTCATCAAATGGCCATCAGTTGTGAGACCATAGCAGTAGGGGAAAATGACTCTCTGAACTTAGTAAACAAGTCTAATCTTTTAATAAGTTACTACTACTATAAACCTCAATACATCAGACGTTTCTTGTATTGACTAGCATAAATGCTACGTTACATTCATGTAAGAATTCGGTTTCTGCCATGCCAGCAATGACGGATTATTGAGTTGAATGGATGGTTGCTGCTTGACATTGATTGAATTTCTTGAGAAATGAAAAATGAGCAGTACTGAATGAAAATGAGAAATTTTGATGCAAAATAAATTAAGTTCGAAGAAGAAAACTGGTAGTGTTAGTGATGACTTTAATCAGAAATAGGAAGAACAAATTTTAGTTTTCTTCAGTAGAATAACGCTCACTGGAAATAATAAATTATACAAAAACCATAAATTGTGCCGAAATCTGTGCAATCTCTCCAATTTAAGTCTGAATCCGAAACGTGGATTACATTTTAAGAGTTCAACTAAGTTTACAACTCACCGCTCGATCTCATCTACTTCTTTTCAGCAGCGGTGAAACATTTAAATAGCATCAAGAAGGAGTTTTAACATGTTTCCAGTCAAAAAATTAGTCATTACTTAATATGCTAAAAAGAATAACCTAATAACAAAATATTCACCTTCGTCAACAAGTTTAATGACTTTTTTATAAATTTAATACTGAACGAATGAATGCAAAACAACAAGAGGAAGTCAGCAATCAAGGTTTTCAGTAGATTGGATAAATTAAACATTTTCTCAGAAACCAAATCTAGTCATAACAATGGTGTCAACAATTATTTAGTAACATTATTATTAAGAAAAATAAAGCTACACTTGACAAATTTCACAGTTTCCGATTATTTGGAATGAAGCATTTTCTAAATAAAATGGATTGAAGATTCTTAGAAAAATTTGGTTCAACGGTTTCTTTAGAGGCAGAAGAATATTTAGAGCTAAGTTATCGCTGTATTAAAAATTATTCAGATAGAAAAACGTCTTCCATTAACTTGAATTAATAATTATTAGCGCATGCATATTTAAGTCCAAAAAACGTGACTATAGTGAATAATTTGCTGGAAAGAACCAATCTGATGAAAAGCAATAAGAAAAGCTATTAACAGCTACCACCGAAGATGGGCAGAAAAACCCGACTAACAACTTGAAACAAAATGAATAACACTATGCGACAAAATTTTACATCTGCGAAAGAGTGAAAATATGATTAAAAGTAATATAATGATATCAGATCCAATATATCTATCTCACTGGCATCATAACTTTTAATCCTTAGTAATCGCATGAAAAATATTTGAATTTTGAAACTAACAATGCTGAGCTAAGTCACCTAGTAATCCTCTTCAACGTCATGTTATGTCTTTTTTATTGAGTCCATCTCAATATAAAGATTAGTCATTAATTACTCGCAGATAAAACAGGTTCTCCCCATTTCACATATGGATATTATTTACTGCTTTCGACTGCGTGATCTTACTTTATGTTCAACGAGATCGCAGCACTCTGTTCAATTTGAAGTTGATACTTCGTCCACAAAGTCTAGAAATGGAAGGTACGAATGGCAAGAATGAACCAACTTACACATGTGAGTCAGAAAGAGAAGATGGCATGACTGACATTTCTGGAAGGTGGCAGTGTACTATTTAGCAAGCGGTAGCGTAGTTTACCCTTGCGTAATAAGTGTAATTTTACATTTTTTTCAGCAGAATGCTGCAAAATTTGATGAAATTCCACTTCATTTTCATTTCATATAGGTAAAAATACACTCTAAACAATTACTATCATTCGTTCGTTCAGTTTGACTGGAAACTAAAAGTCTAAAGCAATTCACTGAGTTCTTAACTGATATCTTTATGCTTTTAGTATTAACAGTCTGATAAGTTCAAAAGTCGAGTAGAGATTGGCTGTGAATGTGCTCACTGTAAGATAACATGCATACATTACTCGACCACTATATTTTTTCACGGTCTGAAATAATTCTTCTGATCCCTGCTTGCTTTCTATTCACCAATTTTTGGTATTCACTCTCCGAATCCCCATTACTTCTACAATGTTGCATTCATGCAAAACACAACAAATATTCTGGTATCCAATTTTAAAACAAAACCACCAGTCTGTCTGATCACTCTTAACTTATTCCTCCCTAGGATTACTGCAAACTCACTTTCACAATAAAATTATCCATTCCTCGACTAAAAAACGCCTCTTCCAATTCTAGCTTGCTAGAATATTTGTTAAACACAACTTTCCGCTTCTAAAGTTCTGTAAGCCGGTCTCTCCACACACTACCCTCTTACTACTGCTGTCACTTCATGAGCGCACCCTGGTTTGAAAACTGAATAGCACTTGGAACGAGATATTTTTAAACACTTATTTATCGGTGAAAAAACAAAACATTTGCAACATAGAAATGAATGCACAAATACTTTTAACAATAATGAGTGAACAGTTTACAGAGCAAGGGGAAACGCAATGAACTCCTTTTTATTACATACAATAGTTCGCAATAAATAATTCGATACAGCAATGGGAAACGCATAATTAATCTCGTAACAAGAATTTTCAAATCTATATTTTATTCAAATCTTTTGAGCAACTTTATTACAAATAAAAGAAAAGTTAACAGTGCACTACTACTTTCACCAAACTGTTCACGTGTATGGTATTTCAGAAGACTACCAAAGAAGTTCAATCTATGAAGCCATTTGTACGATCTAAACTTCTTCCTTACTTAGTTTTAAATTGAAAACAAAGTGAGGAGAATTACTTCCTAAAGCACTAAAAACAATAAGGAATAAGATAAAAGGCTCTTCAAAAACAGTATTGGGATACAAAACAAGACAAATCTATTCACAAAACGTTACTGATGAACAAATATAAATCAACTATAACAAAAAATTAGAAGCCACTCACCTGCACAGGATAATAACAGTGTTTCATCTTCGAAATATTGATAGCATTTTATTTATAAAATTGTATGCTTGACAGCAAGTTTGAAACTGGAAAAACGTTTCTAGATACTCGGCAAGCTAAGAGGAGAGACTTCGTCTTGGCTTGCACAGTACCCAAAAATTATTAAAAAACATCGTGAACTACCAACACCAAAGAGACCAAGTAACTTCGCGAACTACTAGTACATTTAGCACAATTTTATGAATGCTACTAAAGTACTCTCAATATTTGTCTCATGAAACAAAGTTTAATTGCCGTTTCCAGATCACGATTAAACTGGTAAAGTATGAAATAATTTAGGCTTGATATTAAAAATTACATCAAACAGAAATACTCTTCAAAAGTCGTGGATAAACAATTAAACGTGTCGCATCTAGAATAATTCTATCACAGTAATTTCTAACAAAACTTCCACCTATTCCCGCATTCTCGGCAGAAAACGAAAGTAGTCATAGGCTCATCTGCACTTCGTGTTTGTACTTGGGTATACGTACAGTTTTTCTTACCACATTTACCACACTTAAACATATCTGAAGGAGTTCCTTCCTGTACTGCCATTTGATATTCTTCGATGGCCTAAAAATCAATCACAGTTCACATATATAACCAGCACTATGAAACAGCATACGCATAGATCATTACTGCCATACTACTTGATCAAAATGAACTTTAAATCTAACGAACATATTCGATTCCTAAAATAACAATAACACATAGTTGCCTGATAAACAAAAGTTCAAGTCTAAATTCCTTAAGACTGATGATGTATTTGTAGAACAAAATCAATGTGTTTCGATTACGACTATATTCGGCAATTACAGTCGCAAAATTCCTATACAAATTATCTGCACCTGTTTAGTGAATTTCTCTCGTTGTGCTTTCATTTCATCCGATGCCATTTCATCAGCTGTTAGAATTGCAAATCTACAAAAGCTAGATAAGAACCGAAGAAAAAACACTGCTTTCACATAAAAATACTAAGCAGTAGAATGCTTTCTCTGCCTTAGCTCTTTTAACCATTAACTTTGATACATTGTTCAGCTCAAACTATATAAATATATAAATATACATAAATGTAAATAAATAAATAAATAAATATATATATATATATATATATTTGCAAATATATATGTAAATATATATAGGAATATTATATAAATTCCTATA